CTCTGCTTTTTCGTTTTTGCTGGATTGACATTTTTGTTCTTTTTATAGATTTCACTGTATCTCTGTACTACTTTCTCATAAAATTCTGGTAAGACAATATAGTAGTTTCTTTTTAAATGGTATAAAATGGTTCATCTTACTGATGACATCTAAGACCTTATTAAATAGATTCTATTTCCCCTACTTTTATTAATCCCTTATTCCTATTTCCTTAATTCTTCTCTTAGCCTTCTAGTTTGTTGTGATGTAAATGTAGATCTTTTAGATGCAGTGTAATATTCATATATATATATTCCTGTAATATATATGTGTGTGTGTGTGTATTCTTTGTATAAATCTTAAACTTACTATGCCATATTTTATTTTTGTTTCTACTTTTACCTAACTGAACATCAAGCCACATTATTTCACATATCTTTGGCTCATTCCCTCTGATTGTTGGATGATACACCCAACATAATTTACTGTCCCATTCTACTTACAATGTATATCTAGGGTGTCTCTGATACAATACTATCATACACTGCTGTTCCGAGTATATTCATACACATTTACTGAGTAATGTTTTTCTTGGATTTATGTATGTATACACACATATGTACATGTATACTATAGATACACAATGTTTCTGTACAAGTACACATATTCACACACATATATATATGTGTATACTTATTTACATATAATCTCAGGAGTGAAATTATTGGATCATAATTACATAAATGTCATATGTAATTCCATATGTTTAATTGAATGTTTCTGTATGAAGATTCTTAATTTCTCCCATTTTTGTCCCAAGTGTACTTGGTAGTACAGTTTTTTTTTATAATTTAATGGTAGTAAAATGTTACTGCTTTAATTAACAGTTAGCATTTTTGAATTACTAGTGAGTTAGAATACTTTATATATACTTGAAAAGACAGTATGTTTTCTATTCATTAGCAGTATATAGTCTTTTCCCTTTGGGTTTTCTCTCTTACATGTTCAATTATAGAAATTGTGTGTGGTTTACAGAAGGAATATAGAGCTCTAGCATAGGCTTTAATGCATTAGTTGAGTTTTTCCCTTTTTTGGATGTTACCACTATATCAGGGGTCCTTAAGCAGTTTAGATACACAGTTGTCAACAAGGATGCAGAGAAAGGGAATCTTTGTATGTTGTTGATGGAAGTACAAACTGTAGAACAGTCTTTATAAAATAATAATGTTTCCAATATGGAACTTCTTCAAAAGAATTTAATGAAAACTACCATATTAGCTAACAGTCCCACTTTTGAGCATTCTGAACCATGTATAGAATGAAAATATTCAGAAAGATAAATCTTTACTAACCCTATATAGACTTTCATTTTTTTATCATTCCCTAAACAATATGCAATGCCTGTTTACATAGTGTTACATTGTATTAGGCATTTATATGTCATCTGGGGAAGATTATACATATGTAGGAGGATGTACATAGTTTGTATAAAACTTCTACACTTTTATACAGGGCCTCCTACCTTTTGTTGTAATTATGTTTAGCTGTACAAGGAGTTTTCATTCAGCATGTCAGTTTGTGAGTGCAGTGATCAGTGTTTTGTCTTTCATCATTCTCCTCTCTCCCAACCTGCTATATTTTATACAAGGAACTTGAGCATTTGCTGATTTTTGTATTTATGAATACTGCTGGAACCAGACATATATGGATACTAAGGGACAACTGTGTATCCAAAAGAAGTTTTGAAATCAATATGTTTAATACGTATTTATGTTCTCATGTTCATTGGATATTGTTTATACTAGCTTAGAAACAGAATGAGTCTTGAGTGTCCATTGATGACTAAATGGATAAAAAAAAATGTGTTGTACCTAATAGAGTGTTATTTTTACTCTGTTTGCCAGCTATAACTAAATACCTGATAGTAGATAATTTTACTTCTCATTGGCCAATATTCTTCTTGGAAGTTTGATATCTAGTGATAGTTCCAGTCTCTGTGTCCGAGCTAATGCATTAGTGAAGTGCTTTTACCAGAAAGTGGAAGAGCAAAAAGAGTATTCTTACATGGCAGAAGAGCCAAAGAGAACACACTTAATTTTTTCAAGCTCTTTTTAATAAGGATTCTGGTCCTTTCCTTGAGGATGATGCCTTCATGCTTTAATCACCTCCTAAACGCCCTACCTCTTTATTCTGTCACATAAGAATTTAGCATAAAAATTTTGGGGGGATGCATTCAAACCATAAGCATTCAGCTTTACAAAAGAACCAAATCCTACCATTTACCACAACACAGATGAATCTGAAGTAGTTATGATATATTAAATAAACCAGATAGAAAAAGACAAAACATTCATGATTTTTTATGTGTGAAACAAAAAACTTTTTAAATTTGAAGTTGAGGGTAGTTGGGAATCTGTGACTCAAGCCTGTAATCCTAGCCTCTCAGGAAGCAGAGATCCAGAGGATTATAGTTTGAAGTCAGCTAGTTCAGAAAAGCCCAGGAGATTTCATCTCAAATTAACCATCAAAGTGCTGGATTGGCAATATGGCTCAAGTGGTAGAGAACTCTAGTAGTGAAAAAGAAAGCTAAATAGGTACCCGAGGCTCTGAGTTCAAACCTGGTACCAAATTACACATAAAACAAGGAGGAAAGGAAAAAAAAGAGTACAACTATAGATCTAAGGTTGCCAGAGGCTAGGAGAACTGGAAAGTGAAGGGATTGCCCAGAAGGTGCCAAATTTCAGGTATGCTGAAATGAATAAGCTTTAGAGATCTAATGTACAGCACGTTGACTAGTATAGTACACTTAGAGTTGTCAGAGTAGATTTGAAATATTCTCACTAAAAAAAGAATAAAAATAAGTGAGGTTATACATATGTTAATTACCTTGGATGTGGTAATCATTTCAATTATACACCTGTATCAAGTTCTATACCTTACGTATATCTTAAGTACGTTGTAGTCTTTTTGTTGTTGTTGTTGTTGTTTGGGGGGGGGGGTGTCTGGTCGTGGAGCCTGAACTCTGGACCTGGGTGCTGTCCCTCAGCTCTTCAGCTCAAGGCTAGCACTCTACAACTTGAGCCATAGCGCCACTTGGGCTTTTTTCTTTTGCGTATGTGGTGCTGAGGAATTGAACCCAGGGCCTCATGCATGCAAGGCAAACGCTCTACCACTGAGCCACCTTCCCAGACTATCTGTAGCAGTCTTTATTTGTTGATTGAAGATTATAGTAGGAAAAGTTTGGAAAGTCCACAAGAAGTTTTGGGGATCTTTATAAAGATTCAAGTATTTGTATATTTGGTTGAGTTACTACTTCCAGTTTGAATAATATTGTCAGTTGTATGTGTGTATTGTGGGAAGAGGTCCCTAAATAGATTGTTTTTCTAAATGGATTGTTTTGTATGTTACATATTTCCCTGAATCTGCTTTGTGCATATTCTTTTCTTATGATTTTTGTGGGTTCTCATTTTTGTACTTCCTATGATACTTAATTTCTTTTTGGTGATTTTGCCATTCTTATCTTTTTTTATTGTATGTTCTAATTCTAACAGGAATGCCTTACAATTTGTGGCTTGTGTTGATAGAACACTTCCAGAATGTCCTAGTCTATTTAAGTTGGTAAAACACATTTATTTTTTATAGTCCTGGACGATGGCAATTTAAAGATCAAGGTATAGGTATTGTATCTACTGAAGACAATTTCTCATCCTCATTTGGACCTCATGATGGAAGGGGCGATCATATTCTCTTAGGCCTTTTCTATATTATATTATTCTATAAATACTAATCTTACCCATCTAGTGATTTTGTACCAACTCTGCGATTTCTGGATCTGAGCTATTACAATTCCTTTCTTTGAAAATTTTTCAACATTTCAGAGATATTTATTTGATCACTGTTAACTCCTGTCACATCTTTGTTCTAAATTCTCCGGGGAATTACTTTTTTCTCACTATAAAAGCCAAGGTCCTCAACATTACCTTAAGTTATTGAAGTGGCTCTTACTATCCAACTAATCTCTTCTATTCTCCCTCTTGCTTAACCTACTGGCTTTCTTGCTAATTTGGGGACATGTCAGGTGTATTTTTTACCCCAGAACATTTTCACTTACACTTTCTGCTGGATTATTATTCTCCTAGATTTCCACATAGTTGATTTCCTCCTTTCCTTGAAATATATACCCAAATGTCAACTTCTCATTGAGGCTTCCCCGATTATTCTGAACAAATCTGTTATTTTCCCCTATGTGTGTGTGTGTGTGTGTGTGTGTGTGTGTGTGTGTGTGTGTGTGTGTGTGTGTGTGTGTGTGTGTGTGTGTGTGTGTGTGTGTGTGTGTGTCAGTGTGTGTGTGTGTGTCAGTGTGTGTGTGTGTGTCAGTGTGTGTGTGTGTGTACTTTCTCATTGCCATCACACTGTTAAACTTTATACCCATATTGTAGGATAGTGTTTATGCTTAGAAATTTTTTCTTAAACAAGTAAATAAATTTTTATTTGCAATTTTTCAGTGTCACTACATCATGAGTAAAGATAGAATTTATCAGTAGCACAAAAGTTGATACTAGTTTAAGAAAATTAAATTATAATTTTCTCATGTAATGGAAATTTCAGAGGTTTGATCATATGTATCTTGGCTTCCTGGCTATTGTGTTTGTCTTTATTATCACAAGATGGCTTTTTTATCTCTAGAAACTTATTAGAATTTGAGCCTTTTGAATAGCTAGGATTATGGACATGAGCTACCAGCACCTGGCAATAGAACTTTCTTAAGGGCTATGGTGACTACATTACACTATAGAAAATGTAAGTTGAGTTAAAACGTTTGAACCACTAAAATTTACTCGTTGAATTTATAAAGTTTCATGGCCCTTTAACCAGCATTCTTATAACATGCAGAAATTTACTATTGCTACAAGATGTGAAGACTTCACTCTTAACTTGATACAGAATTTGATTTCACTGATGTTACTAATTTCTAATTACCCTACTGAAAAAGGTAACAATTAATTTTGTTTTCTTTTTAGCCCCATCTGCTTTGATATGATTGAGGAAGCATACATGACAAAATGTGGCCACAGCTTTTGGTAAGATAATTTTATTTAGTAAAAAATCTTCTGACATTTTAAAGATAAAGATATTAGTATAACCAAGGAGAAATTATGCTCTTTAAACAGATTTCATATTGTTTCTCTGATGTCTATAGAGGTTTGATAGTTGATACTCACATTCTTACATAATTTTGGGGAAATAATTATGTTTACTATAGGTATATAAGATGAATTAACTGGTAACAGAATCTTTGCTATTATAAGAAACCAAGGGTACTGAGTAATTAAGACCATGAAGCATGAGTACTTTCTTTGTAGGGATACCTAGGGATACTAGGGAGGCCTGGTAAAGTGAACTGACAACATGGAAAAAGGATGTATAGTTAAGTTCTATGTTCTCTTCTTGAAAACTTTGCTTGCTGTTAACTGTACTGTTGTCATCTGTACACATCTCACATTATAATGTGTATATTTAAAATTTTTAATTGTAAAATAATAGAATTTATAGGTTTATCTATTTTGCTAAATCATTAACATCAAGTATGTTCATTTGTTACATACTTTATCTCCAGAACTTTTGCATCTAGTAAAACAAACTGTGTATCAATTGAAAACACTCCAGCTTTTCTGTCCCCTGAAGCCTGATAACAATTATTTTGACTTTTGATTATATAAAAAACTCCAGATACCTTATAAAAGTAGAAATATACAATGTTTTTCTGACTGACTTCACTTAGCACAATGTCTTTTATGGTTATTTGTGTTGTAGTGTGGGTCAGATTTTGTTAGAAGGCTGGAAAATACTTCATTGTATGTATAAATTACACCTGTTTAGAAGGGATGGGAAGGGGAAACAAAGGAGGAGGCTACAATGCTTGATAAGAAATGTACTCACTTTCTTGCCCATGTAATTGTAACCTCTCTGTACAGTATTTTCACAATAAAAAATAAAAAAATTACACCTGTTTATGCAGCCCTTCACAGATACCAAGATATCTTCTACCTTTGTCTCTTGTGAATGCTACTCAGAATATGCATATAAAAATACTTCTATACCCTGCTTTTTTTTTGGGGGGGGGGTTGGTCATGGGTCTTGAACTCTAGGCTTGGGCTGGTCTCTTCCTCAGCTCTTCAGGTCAAGGCTAGTGCTCTACCAATTAAACCACATTGCCACTTCTGATTTTCTGATGGTTGGAGCTAAGAGTCTCACAGAGTTTCTTGCCCGGGCTGGCTTTGAACCTCGATCCTCAGAATTCAGCCTCCTGAGTAGCTAGGATTACAGGTGTGAGCCACTGGTACCCAGCTTATACCCTACTTTTAACTACTCAAGATATATAACTCAAAAGTGAAGTTGCTGGATCATAAAGAAATTTTGGTTTTTAATTTTTTCAGGTCCCACTATACAGTGTTCCTTAGCTGTTTTATATATCATCACTGAAATAATAATTTTTTATATTCTCATTAACAGTATATAATTTCTCCACATCCATACCAACACTTGTTTCTTTTCATAGTAGTCATCAGACATGTCACATGTAATCTATTTTGAATTTTTTTTTTGCTTTTTTTAAACTTGACTTCTTATGAAGGATATCTTAAAGTATACATGATTATAAAGGATTATCTTAAAGGACATAATGATTAATTAGATTCAGAAATACATAGGGTAAGGTATGTGGGACAAGGCATAGAATTTTCATAGCATCTCTAGGCATACCTCCCTCCCAACTCTCTCCATGTTAATTGGCATTCTTTGCTGTTTTTTTGAGGTTGTATAGACAATTCACTGAATTGCCACAGTTGATTAGATAGATCATGGGCCATTGGTGTACACTTCAGCCGCTTTTCCATTCCTGGAGGGTAGACTGAAAGTTCCAATGCTCTATCTGTGTGTTGATGTTACCTGTCAATCAGCTATACTGAGCATATCTAGGAGCTCCCAGGCCTCAGTCATCTCATTTAACTTGTGCATTGCTTTGATTGGAGGTGATACTTGGTACTTGTAACTAGTCACCTTCCTAACTTACTTATCTGTAGTGTTAGCAGTTAGTGTAGTCTTACCATTTCTGTTGTGGAGTAATAATCATTATGTTCTAATTCCCTTTGAAGTTGAGCTCATAATTTTATGTTGAAGTTGGATATAGCATCTTAGATGTAGCTTTCATTTAGTCATGAAGGGTTTTAGGTGTTAACAGTAGTCTGTAAGTCATTTAATTTACTGAATGGTGCTTCAGTGATTCAGTCTAATATTGATTTAAATTTTTTAGCATAAAAAAGTTTACTTAGCCTACATTATATTCTTTATTAAGCAAAATTAAAGCAGTGTGTATTCTTGACTTAGAAAAGGAACTTTATACAGAGAAATATAATATAAATATCATTCTTCAGTTTTCTATCCTCAGAAGTTATTACTGCTCAAGAATAGATTACCTATTTCTTCAAAATTCTTTTGTGTACCCAACTTGGGACTGGAAGTGAGGGCCTGGGCACTGTCCCTTAGCTTTTACCACTCAAGCTGACACTCTGGCAGTTGAACCACATCTCTACATCTGGCCTTTAGGTGGTTAATTGGAGATAATAATCTCAAGGACTTTCCTATCTGGCTGGTTTTGAACCTAGATGCTTAGAGCTCAGTCTCCTTAGTAACTAGAATCTCAAGCATAAGCCGTGTACCCAGTCATTTTTGTTAAAGCATTTTTGTTAAAGCATTTTGTTAAAGCTTCTGAGTTTTTAAAGAAAAATTCCATTTTATTCACATTTCCGTAATTAATTTCAGGTCTGTTTGCTAAGAAATTCTGGTTATATGAGTCTCAGTTTTAGGCTGATACATATATGGTCTTGGTCTTTTCAGGCTGATTGTTGAGCAGCCATATTTTCTCTTGTTCAAAAATTGATCTGGAATATTAGCATTTTTTTGAAAACCATATTTTTTATTTTGATTATTCTGGAGCTTTTTTAGTGGTACTGTGGTTTAGACTTTTCAACCTGGGGTATTACTGATGTATTAGGATAGATAATACTTGGTTGTGAGTTATTGTCTTGTGAATTATAGTGTGTTTAGCAATGTCAGTGTCTTCTATTCAATGGAAACTCACTACTCCCTGTTGGAATAACTAAAAATATCTCCAGATATTGCCAGATGTTCCCTAGGGGACAAAATTGGTTGTAGTTGAGAGCTGTTTATTTAGAACCAGCTCTTGAAGTAGCCACTACTTATGGTTCTAAAATTTATCTAACATTTGTCAAATCATTCAACTTTACTACTGCCCTCTTTCTCTTCTGCTTTCTAGTCTTACCTTCATCCTTTCCTTCCTTCTTCACTTTCTGTCCTTTCATAGATGCACAATTGTCCAAATACTAAACAGATTTTAAAGTGGAGTTTTAAATTTGTTCCTTTAACTTCCTTCAACTGACATGTTCATTTTGCTATTTAGAGAAAAGTTTTGGTCAGTTCAATAATCATTCTTTTCTTTTTGAAAAATTTTTATTTTATTGTAAAGATGTCCTACAGCGAGGTTACAGTTACATGAGTAAAGCAATGAGTACATTACTTGTCCAGCATTGTTGCCCCTTCCCTTTGGTGTTCTCCCACTATCCCTTACTTCCCCCACCTCCCACGCGCCTCACCACCCCTCCACCCCATCCCACCCCTGCCCAAGGTTGTAAAGTTCATTTCCAATATACTGTCTTGTGGGTATCATTGTTGTAATGGATCATCCTGTGTCCTTGTTTCAGCGTTTTGTTATTCCCCTTCCTCTCCCCAAATTAGACAAATGTATATACAAGATGCAGAGTACCAAAATGAAGTATAGTGAAAACAGGGGATATACCATAGGGGGAAGAACATACAAAGGAGACCAAAAAAAAAAAAATCACATAGTACATTTAAAACAACAACAAGGAAAGACCTCATGTCCATATCTTGGTGTTCATTTCATTTAGCATCATCTTATATGGTCATATGAACATAGTTTTTGAGCTTTTTCTGCTCATCTAATAAATTTATCCTAGACCTATATTAATTATTGCAAATGAGGGAAAAGATGGGACCTAAATTTCTGTGGGTCTGGCTTACGTCACTTAATATAGTTTTTTCCAAGTCTTTCTATTTCCTCATAAATGGGGCAGTGTCATTCTTTCTGATGAAAGCATAGAATTCAATCACACACACACACACACACACACAATTTCTTGATCCACTCATCTACTGAGGGGCATCTACATTGGTTCCATATCTTAGCTATGGTGAATAATGCTGCAATAAACATAGTTGTACTGGTAGCTTTAGTATGGCCTTGTTTGTGCTGATTAAAGCTAGGGTCTTGTTTTGTTATTGGGTAACATTCTAACACTTTTAAACAGAAGCTATTTCTGACACCACAAATGTCTTCCTGCTTAACTGTCAACCTCTCATTTTTAATCACTTTTGAAAATTCTCTCTATCATGATTTGTTGATTTTTTTTTTTTTTTGGGTCCGTTCGTGGGGCCTGAACTCTGGGCCTGAGCGCTGTCCCTCAGCTCTTCAGCTCAAGGCTAGTGCTCTACCACTTGGGCCACAACGCCACTTCCAGCTTTTCTCTTCTTTTGCTTATGTGGTGCTGAGGAATCAAACCCAGGGCCTCAGGCATGCAAGGCAAGTGCTCTACCACTGAGCCACATTCCCAACCCCTTGTTGATTTTTTTAAAAGGTTAATTCTTGTCTTGTGTGAGTATTCCCCAGTATTCTCCTTTTCCTCTGAAGCAGATTGTAAATTTCTCCATATTGGGATTCTTAGTCTGTTGTATTTGTATATCTACACTATTCTCCCTAGCAAAAACAATGAAAGCTAAAACATTTAGTTTTTAATTTACTTAATTTATTTTCCTAGGTAGGAAATTTCCAGTCAGGTTTGGAAAGCATGTTGTGATACCACAATAATTACAGCTTTGGCACACTTGCAAGAGGGAATGAAGTTATTTCTGAAACACTATGAAAGTCCTTTGTTTAGTAGGTAATTGAATATTACAGTGCTCTTTAAACCTCTGTGCTGTGCCAAATACCAATGTTACTTGGAGTCTTTGTATCTTTATCCTGTTCGCTTACGTTGAAAACATCAAGATGAGAAAGTAATTGATAACTAGAATTTAAGTGAAACCTAATTAACATCAGATAAGGTACTTCATTGCTCAGGTAGAGGAGGGTAGTTTCAGTTAATAAAGCTGAAGTAATGTAAATAATTTTGATACAGAATAAAATGCATGCTTTCATTTTAGGGATGATCTTAATAATTTCTAGAATTTTTTTCCCGAACATCAGAGTAATGTATATTTAACTGCAGAAACTTTTTTCTGCACTTTTTCACTCCTGAAGGAAAGTGTTAACATTGTAGTAGTTGTCCTTTTTAGTTTATTTATATATATATATATATATATATATGCAAATTCTTTTTAGTGGATGGGATTATATTGTATATATTATGTTGTACGTGCACATGTTGTCATTTTGGTTCAGCAGGTTGGTATATTAATGTTTGTATCTCATGCCAGTTCACATTTGTCTGTTTTGAACAATACATAAAAAGATTTTTTTAGGGTTGGGAAGGTGGCTTAGTGGTAGAGCGCTTGCCTTGCATGCCTGAAGCCCTGGGTTCGATTCCTCAGGACCATATAAGCAAAAAGAAAAAAGCCGGAAGTGGCTCTGTGGCTCAAGTGGTAGAGCACTAGTCTTGAGCTGAAGAGCTGAGGGACAGCGCCCAGGCCCAGAGTTCAGGCCCCACGACTGGACCCCCCCAAAAAAAAAGATTTTTTTAATTTTAAGGTAATACATAACTGTTCAAGGTTCAGTATTATAGAATTATGACATAAGGAGAAATTTTCCTATAATCACATTTCTCCAGTTATAACTATTATGTTATTCATCACATCATATATATTACAATACCATTCTTAATTGGCACTATAGTATTATGTTGTTGATGTTTACAGATTTATTTAGTCATTTTCTTAGTATTTAAGTTTCTTCTATTTTAATTTACTATTTATAGACAAATCCGCATTGGATCCTCTTCTGAATGAAAAAAAATATAGATATATATAAAAACTTAAGACAAATTCCTAGAAATAAAACCCATTATGCTAAAGGTGTTGCAAAACCACAAGGTTATTCCTGCATCTTCCACAAGGTTAAAGAGCTAATGCTAGTTATATTTCCTTCAATAGTATGTAAGATGGCTTATACCTATTTGTACTTGTTAACTACAACAGTGTTTTCTTTTTTTTTTACATAATCTGATTAGTATAAACTAATGGCTACTTTTGAATCTTTTCTTTTTTTTTTGGTCGTTTGTGGGGTCTGAACTCTGGGCCTGGGCTCTGTTCCTCAGCTCTTCAGCTCAAGGCTAGTGTTCTACTGCTTGAGCCACAGTGGCACTTCTGGCTTTTTCTGCTTATGTGGTGCTGAGGAATCGAACCCAGGGCCTCATGCATGCAAGACAAGCACTCTACCACTGCAGCCACCTTCCCTGCCCTCCCTTTTTTTTTTGTTGTCACTGAAGGTGATAATTTTCTGATGTTTATGAACAAACTTTTGTCTTCACTTGAGTATTCTATTTTTCTTTTATTTTTGTTTCAGTGAGCTCTTTATGTATTAGAGTATTAACACTCAAAGAACATGAATGATTTGTTTGCTTAATGAAAACCATAGACATTTGTTTTTATGTTATTGTTATGTAGTATATAAATTGCATAAGCTTTGAATTTAGAGTTAGTAGGTATTCTAAATTTTTACGTTTAATATGTTCATTGATTTTATTTTGAAATAATTTATATACTATTCATCCAATTAATACCCCATAAGTCTTGTGATATGAAGTATAAGTAAAAGAGATTGTTCGATTATTTATATTAAAGATGAGTACAACATTTAGATTATTTTTTACTGGTTTGCTAATTTTTTTCATTGATTTAATTAAACTTGTTTTATTCTTTCCCTGCTAATAGCTACAAGTGTATTCATCAAAGTTTGGAGGACAATAATAGATGTCCCAAGTGTAACTATGTTGTGGACAATATTGACCATCTCTATCCTAATTTCTTGGGTGAGTCTGGTATTATTTTAACTTTCAAAAATAATTTTTCCCCAGATAAGTGTTAGCTATAATTTATTCATAAACCTAGCTCAGAGGTAAACAAGTTTTGCAGTTACTCACCAAAGAGCTTTTTATCTTCTTGGCATATAAAATAGACTTCTTTTTTTTTTCTACTACATTTCTCTATACATTATTTCAAATTCTTCTGTCTGCTTATGAAACAGAAATGAGAAGTAACAGAAAAAGGTTAATGGGGTAGGGAGCACAAGGTGGGTGAATATTGACTGGAGAAGGTAGAAAAAGCGTTGGCTAGCACAATTACCAGATTGGGGAAGAGAGTATGAACTGGCGAACTAGTTGCTAAATAAGAATTAGAGAAGGAAAGCATAGATATAATACAATTTTTTATCTAAAAATAAAAGAATTGAAAAAGACACATTTGAGACCCTAACTGTAAATACTTGGAATTAGTATGTAGTCAGGTCAATTGTGAATATCAGGAAACCCATAGATATAGCAAGGTTTGGTATTCCTTTAAATCTATCACTTGGAGACTGGAACAGGAAGATCAAGAATTTGAAGCAAGCCTGGGCTACATATTAATGGTCTATCTCCAATCAAATAACAACTTGTTCCTATTGAATTACCTAAGGTATTGTCAGATACCTGTAGTATGTAGTGTCTGACAAGATAGAAATACATATATATAGAGAGAGATAGAGAGCGCGAGAGAGGGGGGAGAAGGGGGGATATATAAATTTAACTCTTCATTTAAAAGAGTATAAGAGTATAATGTTCAGAGTTACCATGTGGTGACTACTTGCATATAGATTTGGGCCTACCAGAAATACTTTTCCATAGTATTTTCTCTCAGTGTTGTACCCTCTTTCCTCCAGTGTACACATTCTTTCTGTTTTCCATTTCCCTTGGTGTTGAGACTTCTCTTTCCTTCTCCTATCTTCAGATTTAGTTGAGATGTTAATCTTCATAACTAAAGGGTATCTTTTACTAACACATCATAGCCAACTTCGATATAAAATTATGTGCTAAACTTCAGTGGGAATGAGAATCTAAGGACTAATTACTCCACAGCAGAAATAGTAAGGCTAAACTAATATGCCAACACTGCAGATAAATGATTTATGATGATGAATAGTTACAAGTAGAAAGTGTATTCACCAATCAAAAAATGCTCACTATAGCTGGTTGTCAGAGGAATCAAGCACATAAGTAGAGCATTCAAACTTTCAGTCTACTCTCTGTGCTTAGGAAGGGAAGAGCGGCTGAGTTGTACACCAGTGGCCAGTGATCTATCAAATGTGGCAACTCAGTGAATCATCTGTAGAACTCCCAAAAGGCAGCATAGAAAGCTACTTGTTGATTAACCTGTAGAGGTGCTAGGAGGGAGGCATGGCTAGAAATGGTATGAAAATTTCATGCCCTTTCCCCCATAACTTTATGTATGTCTGTCAGCTTCTGGTTCATCATTGTATCTATTAAGGCAAGCTTTATAATAAATCATCAAAAGTTTAAAAAAAATACCAAAAATGGGGCTGGGAAGGTGGCTCAGTGGTAGAGCGCTTGCCTTGCACGTGTGAGGCCCTGGGTTCGATTCCTCAGCACCACATAAGCATAAAGAAAAAAGCCGGAAAGTGGTGCTGTGGCTCAAGTGGAAGAGCGCTAAGCCTTGAGCTGAAAAGCTGAGGGACAGCGCCCAGGCCCAGAGTTCAGGCCCCACGACCAGACCCCCCCCCAAAAAAAAAACACCAAAAAATAATTCAAAATATATAGATTACATGTCTGTGATATCTGATGACTTCTGTGAAAAGAAAACAAAAAGCAAGTGTTTGTATCACTGGAGAAATTATGTAGTTAGTGAGAATATAATAAGTAATATTATTTTAGTGATAATAAAAAAATAAGGAATACAGTATGATGGTTCCTGAAAAATTTAAGAACCACAATTTCTATGTGATCCAACAATTATATTTTTGAATTATATATCCTGTGTAGTTGAAAATAGGGTCCAGAAAAGGTATTTTTATGTGCATTATCATAGCAGCAGCATTCACAAGAGCTAAGAGGTAGAAGCTACCTTAATGTCTGTGGAGGGCCTAATGATAAACAAGTGTGTGTGTTTACAATTCCGATTCTTGTAATGTTCTCAGATGCCTCAGTCTTCTTCATCTCCTAATTTTGTTGGTAGTCTCAACTACAGTCAAAGCTTAGTCTATAGCTCCTCCAACTCTACCATCTACTACCTATGGGTGTGTGTGTATGTTTCTGTTTCTTTTCTTTTGTCTATCTCACTGTTCTTCTCTATATGTAAAATTTATAATGAACATTTCTGCAGAATTGAATGAACCTCCTAAGCATTAATAAAAGGCAAGGTATTCAAAGTTTTAAATCTGTTTAGGCTTAGGTGTGGTGGCACATGCCTCCAATCCTAGCGTCTAGGCTACATAGAGAGAACTTGTTTCCAAGAAAAAAAAATCCCTAAAAACCCAAACCAAACACACACACACACTACAAATACCCTCTCCACACACACACACACACACGCACACAACCACACACACAATACACACTACCTTCCCCAAGCCAAGCAAGTGTGTTTTTTTAAAAAGTAAATAGAATATGAAGCCCTCACTAATGTCAGTCATTGTCTTAAGAGCTTTGTGAACATAGATTATTTAATCCTGTGGCAGTCCTTCAAGATACTGCTATTATTGTCCTTAGATGAGCAGACCTGAGGCCCAGACAATGTTGTGTGTCTGACTTACATAAAGTTATACAGTAACTAAGTAATTAAGTTGGTATGTGGTATTTAGTAATGGTGGTTTGTGTATATACTTTTACTATTATTGTCTTGCCTCTAAAAAGAATTGGTGGAGTAGAACCTTTACCAGTAAAATGTATTCTTGGCACTAAGAAATGTTGATGAAAAGGTTGTAAGACTTCACAGAACTGTAACCAAAGTATAAACTATCCTTCAGGTTTGGATCTCACTTCTAAGAAATCATTATGGTTTCAAGTAAATATTTACCTTGATGAAAATGTGAAAATTGCATGACATGTTTGGAATTATAAAATTAAGGTTTAATTGATGCTTACTGTATCTTCGTGTCTATGGATTGGTGAGCAGGGCAATGATGGAATCTTTAAATGCTTCAGTTTATAGTATACTAAGGAATCTATAGCTGATGCCTTCTCCTTGCAGCAAACCATTATTTAAACATAAAATAGCCAAAGTACATTGTGAGTTATAGCACAGTTAGAAGGGTTTTCCCTTAAATGTGGAATTTTGATAGCATTTGCATATTTTCATTTGAATGTTGAATTCATTAGGTATAACTTGGATTTTTTTTTTGTCAGTTGTGGGCCTTTAACTTGGATTTTTAAAAAGACTTCTTTGTTAGTATTTTTATGTACTGAAGTAAACAATGATTCTTTAATGAAGAAATTGAACAAAGTATGCTAAAAATAAAGTTAATGTTCATTCTTCAGGAATTCCTACTACATCTTATAGGAGGATATAGTTTTTAAAGAAAAAATACTGTTTTTAGATACATGAAAAATCTGATCCAGTGATAAAAACTTTTGAGAAATGTGCAGTTTAATTTATATATGAAATATCAGTTAATACATTTTTCTTTTTTTTGCCTTTACTTTCTATAACTTTTGTAGTTTGACATGTAGCCTTAATATGCTCAGTTCACAGTATATTTGGCAAAAACCAATATTGCACTTGTTTTAGTCACAATTCTTATCTTCATATGTTTGTTTATTCTCATTGTATTATCTTCTGTGGACTCTATATTTCTTTTTGGCTCTGATATGCCTGCATTCTTAGCCCCAATTATTCATTTACAAAGTTACTAGGACCCTGTATCTAATTTATTAATTAATTTGTTTGTTTATTGTGCTAGTTTTGGTTGCTGTCCCTGAGCTGCTTTTGTTCAAGGCAAGCCCTATACCACTTGCCACAGTGCCACTTCCAGGTTTTCTGAGTAGTTTATTGGAGATAAGAGTCTCAGGGACTTTTCTGCCCAAGCTAGTTTCCAATCGTAATCCTCAAATCTCAGCCTCCTGAGTAGCTAGGATTACAGGCATGAGCTACCAGTGCCCAGCTATATATTTATTCTAAATCACCTCATTTCTAATTGCTTTGTGGCTTTTAATACAGAACAGACAGACAGACTACAGAACAGACACACACACACACACACTTATATACCCTTTTGTGAATTCTTTTTTACTCCTCTTCTTAGTCTCTCTGGTCCTGTTTGGCCCAATTTTTAAGTCACATTTATGTGAAGCCTACTTGTTAACATTTTGATTGATCCACAGGCTGTGTGTATTTGTAACCCTTTATTTCAATGATACCTGGCCTTTATACTGTGTAAATCTGTTTCAGGTATAGTGCTGATTTTCACACTGTGTAATAACTGCTACATTATATTTATCTGTCTTGCTAGTTTGAGTTGCTTGAGATCTTGGCTCCCAGTTATGACCTGAATATTTACTTGTTTTTTTTTTTCAAAATATTTGCAATTGCATGGTGGACAATAATAGATGGATGGCCTTTTTCCTAATTCAGTCTTTTTCTTATCTACCCTGAGTAAGGTCTTGAAATTCTCTATCCTAATGTTCTTTCCTCTCTAAATGAACACGTTATCCTTAGAGTAATGTCTTTAAAGTGCCTAATGTTGTTGAGTACTGTTTTCTTTTCGGTATTTTTTTATTCCAATGCCAGTTTGTATACATTGGCTATAAAAACAAGCAGAAACAACAATCATTTATGCAGTATAAAAATGTATTGGTTTATAATAAAACAATTTCTACAATGTATTAATCCACTGGTTCAGCGATACTGCTAAGTTCTTTCTATCTTTCTGTTCTTCCATTTCCAGCCTATGCTTTGGTCCTTTGGCTAGTTACCCACAAGATGAAAAAATGGTTCTAAGTAGGTTGAGATGCCCTTATGAAGGTAGGGAAAGAATTTGACCCTTGTTTTAAAAAGCAACACCTCTCATTGGTAAAACTGAGACATAGAGCTGGTCATAGTAGAATATGGTGATTAATCCTGGAACTTGAAGTCTAGGAAAGAGGGTCACAAATTTGAGGCCAGCCTAATCTATATAACAAAACTCTGTCTGGTACAGGTGGCTCAAACCTATAATCTTAGCAACTCAAGAGGCCGAGATCAGGATTGCAGTTGGAAGCTAGCCTGGGCAGTAATGTTCATGAGACTCTTATCTCCAGAAAACTACAAAAAGAAAAGAAAAGGAGAAAAAAAAAAACAGAAATGGAGCTGTGGTTCAAGTGGTTAGAGTACTAGCCTTGAGCATAAAAGCTCAGGTGCAGCATTCAGTCCCTGAGTTCAAGCCTGAGGACCAGCACCAAAAAAAACCCAAAAAACTCATCAATCACTATTAGACTATGAATGAATAAATTGGCCTAAGTTAGTCAAGAATCATATTGTAGGGTTGTAGATATTTGGAAAAAAATTACATTACCAAAAAAAGATGAGATGGTTTATACAGATAATTCATAGTATTTTCCATAATAGAACAAGAACAAACCAAAAGTCTTTAGTGCTTATCTTAGAATAAGACACTCAAGTTACTTATGCTTGATAGCATGAAACTGTGTCACATAGTGAAGAATCCTCTAAAGAATTTGTATGTGGTAATAAAATTTGAAGTAGTAATAGGTACAAAAAAAGTGTTATAATTTGAAATAAAGCAAATAAAGCAAAACACATTCTGCTTACTATCTTATTTTTATATATTATAAAGTTAAAATAGAATCTTAAACAGAATTATAAGATCTATTTAACAGATAAGTGAATTTTATATTCTTTATGTTTGTTTGTAGTGAATGAGCTCATTCTCAAACAAAAGCAAAGATTTGAGGAAAAGAGGTTCAAATTGGACCACTCAGTGAGTAGCACCGTATGTTTCAACTCTCATTACTATTTTTAATAATTTTTTTTGTTTAATATTGAGCTGATGTTAAAACTTACTGTTGTTTTTCTTAAAGGATATTTGTTTGAAGTTCTATTCAGATAAATGAATTAACTGCATTGTCTGTTATAGTTAATAGAGTACTTACTTTTTTAAAAGTTGGATATTATCATGTTGAGATAGTTTTTAATAATGACATGTGAAAGATTATAATGGTCAGGCTGAACAAAATGGGCAGGTATTTAGAATAAACTATTCATACAGCTTAACAGGATTGTCTTCAACTTACCAAGACAATTGAGCCTTAATTACAATTTTTTGAAGAGAAAGTTTAAAATGTGGGTTGTAGACATTTGGAAAAAAAATTACGTTACCAAAAAAAAAGATGAGATGGTTAATACAGATAATTCATAGTATTTTCCATAATAGAACAAGAACAAAGCAAAAATCTTTAGTGCTTATCTTACAATAAGACGCTCAAGTTAATAGTGAAATAGTTACTTTTTCTGCAGAGAAATTATACTTTTCAAAATTCTGATTTAATATTTGCCTTTAATGTCCCTTTTGTAACTGCTAAATTCATTTGAGGGAGATATAATGTTTAAACTATAACTAGAAGGTGGTGAAGAGCTACTGATTATGGAGGAACAGGGTAGAACACACAGTGTATTTTTACTGTAAGTAATGCATATTGGAAGTAGTTGTTAAATATTTGCTTAAGAGTCTATAAAACATTCTTTTTAAACAGTTCCTATTTTTCTTTTCATTTTCAGAATGGCCACAGGTGGCAGATACTTCAAGATTTGTTAGGAACTGACCAAGATAACCTTGATTTGGCTAATGTCAACCTCATGTTGGAGTTACTTGTGCAAAAGAAGAAACAACTGGAAGCAGTAAGTGGTAGCTTAACTTAAAAAAAAAAAGTTTTAAATAGAGGTATTTATTGTAGTTAAATGCTTAAAATCATAGTGTCAGTAATTCATCTTTTTTTATTTGGCTAAAAAAGATATGAAAAACTCATGAGGACAAGAGTCCTCATTTTCAAGGCTGGAGGATCACAAGTTGGAGATCAGCATGTGCTACATAGATCCCCATCTCAAGGGAAAAAAGGGAGAAAGCAAATTCCATATATAACATTTCCAATGGTCATTTGTTATTAACGTAAGTGCTAAAGAGAAAATAAAATTCCATCAACATATAAAACAATTACTGATATTTTCTTCTACTGATTTGTCTTTGTTGTTTCATCCCCTTTCCATTTGAGATTTGGAGGTGAAATAGATTTTTTTTTTTTGGTTATCTCCATTAGGCAAAAATCTTGGCAGGTGTTTCTTCAAAGCAGCAGCAATTCTATGGCTTAACTAAGAGCATATAAAAACGTGATTATAAGTAGGTGCAAAATTTTATTTCTTTTATGTGAATAAATGTAAAGTATTAACAAAGTATGTATTAACCTACAATTGAATATTTTATTTTTATTTATTTATCTATTTATTTATTTTTTTTTTTGGACCAGTCGTGGGGCCTGAACTCTGGGCCTGGGTGCTGTCCCTCAGCTCTTCAGCTCAAGGCTAGCACTCTACCACTTGAGCCACAGTGCCACTTCCGGCTTTTTTCTTTTTTGCTTATGTGGTGCTGAGGAATCGAACCTAGGGCCTTAGGCATGCAAGGCAAGCGCTCTACCACTGAGCCACCTTTCCAACCCTGCAATTGAATATGTTAAAAGCAACACACACTTTAAGCAAATATACATCCTGACTAGTTACTGACTTTTTAGGTTAAAAAATGGCTATTTCTTGTGATAGTAAGTGACTGAGTAGCTCACAAAAACAGAAGGGATGAACTGAACAACCAAATTTTGAGATTAGATGTGTGGCTTTTCTGAAATACTGCAAACAAATGAGATTAGAAATTTGAATGTTGTTGGGAGCCTTTTATGCCAGTTGTGCTTTGTTTTCTGATATATTTTTATTATGTGACACTTTGTTTATATTTGTGAATTTTTTTTGGGGGGGGTCAGTTACAGGGCTTGAACTTTGGGCCTGAATGCTGTCCCTCAGCTCTTCAGCTCAAGGCTAGCACTACCACTTGAGCCACAGCACCACTTCTGGTTTTCTGAGTGGTTTACTGGAGATAAGAGTCTCACAGACTTTCCTGTCTGGGCTGGCTTTGAACTGTGATACTCAGATCTCAGCCTCCTGAGTAGCTAGGATTACAGGCGTGAGCTACCAGCGTCTGGCTTATATTTGTGATTTTTGATAAAAGAAAAATTTCTTTTTCCAACTTAAGTTAAAAAAAAAATCTGTAGATTCTGATTAGCTTAGTCCTGACCTGGGGTCTCTCTAAATAGCATGAGAATCTTTTCCTAGAGAAAGGAATTCCTGAGGTTGATGTAATCAAGCTGGAAATTTCTCCTACACTTTTTTTTAACTAAACATACACTTTTCTTTTAATTTTCAAGAGGAATTGAACATAGGTCCTCATGCATGCTAGGTAAACACTGTACACTTCTAATTATAGTTTTTGTTTATTTTTTTTTTAGTATCTTATTTCAGGAGTTGTGTTAAAGGCTATGGAGAAGAATGTGCTGTGTGTGTGTATGTGTGTAGATAAACAGAACAAAAATCTTTTGAAAAGATTTCTTTGTGATAAATTAACCATATACTATTACCTTGACTTTTGAACTATAAATATTACAACAAAGGGAAAATAAAGAAAAAGGCTGGGATTAGGGATTTAGCATAGAGGAAAGGTGCTTGCCTGGTACGTGCAAGGCCCCGAGTTTGGTCCTCCACATTCCCCACAGGACAAAACAAAGAAAAACAAAGGAAATGGCAGTCAAGATAATAGGAATATTTTGTAAGCATATGAACACAAAAGGCAATATATTCAGGTTTCTGAAGGGTGGGGAGTGTTCTGTACATTAAGCCAACATGGGAAAGCTAGGTAGACCAGAAATTCCAGGATTGGTGATACGTAGTACAGGCTGAAGACAGAATTTGTTGAAAGACTGTTGAAAAAGTAGATGAAATCCATGATTCTTTCCTGTTTAGCTGTTTCTCCCTCTTCTGTCTCCCACCCAGTGGTAAACTAGAAGTTCTGTACTAATGTACAACTGCACTTTTAAAGATATTGTAGACAAGTACTTTTCTGAAACTAAATTCTTACGTACATTCCATTGTCTTTCCTTCTTTGTGGCTTAGAATTGAAGAAACACAGTTATCTTAGTTTTAGATTGTAGATTTTTACTATTATTTTTCTCAAGAAGGAGCCAATTTGGGAACCAATCTCCTGTCATGGACTTTTTAGCTACAACTGTGTATTGCTTCTGTGAATTATAAGTGCACATAGGTTTTCATACTGTAGATTTTATTTTGACATATACATAACCTCTGTTTTCTTTTGGAAGCTCATAACGATATTTAGTTTTAATTTAACTTATCCAGGGTGATCCATTATGGGAATATTTTTATTACTATTGGTCAGCATTTAGATTTTAGCTGTATCAGTACTGAATTTAACATTGTTACACATATTTCCTTGTTCTTGTATATATATGGTTATGTGTCTATCTTTATTCATAGATATACACATATATGTGTATAAAATTAAACAGGGAAAGATACGGCATTTAGAGGACAAAAGAATGACAAGATATCTAACATTTGAAACAGTACAAGCCAAAAGACTGTGAAGTAAATTTCTTATTATAAGACAATCTAGAATTCTATAATTCACATGGAAGTACTATGCAATACAAAGGTGAAATACTTTGTCAATGACACAAAAGAATTAATTCAGCAGCAGCAGAAATGCTCTAAAGAAGAAATGCACTGAATGCCTTAATTTAGGGTTTTCCACTTTCCTGTTTCTTGTTATTGAAATTATTTGAACTTCTGGATCTGTTAGTTTATAGTTGGTATTAGATTTAGAATTTTTGTGCCATTATGTATATGCATACACTAGGATTTTTTAAGGTAATTGCTAGTAATAAGGTATGCATGTACATGTTTTAATCTTGTTAAATGTCAGCTATTGAAGAACATTATTTTTCTTGATAGAGATGGTCAACATTTCTTCTCTGGTTTGGATCTTTCTAATTTTTTCTTGTTTGATGCTAGCAAGTACATCTCTTTTTATGTGCCTTTTTCACATTTCTGTGATTAGTACTGAAGTTGAAAGTTTCTTCACTTGGTTTTATGTTTGGTGAATTAGTTATTTGTGTTCTATTTCTATTTTCCTCAATTCTTTTACCTATTGATTTATGAAGTGGTGGGAGAGTAAGAATGAGAAGAATAAAGAAAATGAGTTTCTACTTCATCTTGGTGCCTTAGCTTACTTGGAATCCACTTCCTTCCTTTGTGTGGATCAGGTTTCTATCTTTCATTATTTTTGTCTTCCTAAAGGACATTTAATACATTTCTTCTTTAGGGCATTTCTGCTGCTGCTGAATTAACTCTTTTGTGTCATTGACAAAGTATTTCACCTTTGTGTTCCTTAGTACTTCTATGTGAATATAGAATTCTAGATTGTCTTAAAAAAAGAAATTTACTTCACAGTCTTTTGGCTTCCACTGTTTCAAATGTTAGATCTCCTGTCATTCTTTTGTCCTATAAATGAAGTGTCTTACCCTGTTTAATTTTATTATTAAATGCCCTAATTTAGGATTTCCTACTTGATGTTTCTTGTTATTGAGATTCTTTGAATTTTTGGATCTGTGAGTTTAGAGTTGGTATTAGATTTAGAATTTTTTCTGCCATTATGTATTAAAATTTGTCTCCTTTTCTTCACTTTGGAAACTAGCTACACACTATTAGGAGGTTGGAGTTGTTCTGTAGTTCACTGTTGAACAGTTCTTATATGTGTAGCTTGGTAGATTTTTCTATATGGTTTATTTTTGATAGTTTCTACAACTATTTTCAAGTTTACTCCTCTTTTCTAACTTCCATATTTCTTATGCTTTATGTTTCTTACCCAACTTCAAGAACACGCATACCTTTTTTGTAAATGTTTTTATTCTCTTATCTGAGTTGTTTCTATAATGTTTTCATTTTCGATTTTTGAAGCAGGGTCTTGCTATGTGGGCCAAGCTGGCCTTGAATTTGTCATCTTTCTGCCTTATCCTCCCAAGTACTAGGAGTGTTAAGAATGTACCAGGATGACTGGCTTCTGCGTCATTGCTTTATCTGTGTTTATAGATCAACTTTTTCTCTTTATGAGATGTATTTTCCTGCCTCATTGCATGCACAGTGTTTTTTTATTGAAGGCTAGAAATTATATTGTTTCATGTTGTTCATTATTGCATGTTTTTGTATTTTCACACTTCTAAGTTTTGCTCAGACATGCATTTAAATTACCTGGAAATAGTTTGAATTGTCTTTAAACTTGCTTGAAAAAAACAGTGGTTTTTTTTGTTGTTGTTTGTTTATACTAATTTTGCCTGGCTACTAATGCAGCCTTTCAGAGTATGCTAAATGATGCTTTGTATTTCAAAGTTTTTTCACTATGCCTATTAGGATATTTTGAGCCTTTGAAAACTCATTTCATATGGTTGAGTTGATATTTTGTTGTTTAAGGTAACAACTTGAATCTAGTCCCTTTTACATCATTTTAGCCAAGAGCAGAATTTCAGCTTATGTTTTCAGTTTTTGGAAATCGATTGTAATTTTCATTTTAGTTCAGCATATAGTTTGTTTTGCTGAGTATTTTACTTAGTTTGAAAATACTGTAGTACTTTTTAAATATGTGTATTTGATTAACATTCAAATCCCTTTTCTTTTGTTCTACCAGTTCTTGGTAGAGGTGTTAAAAGTATAATTTTTATTTGTTTTGTAATTTTTGATTTGTAATTATTAGTTTTTAAAATTTTTATTTTAAAAATTAACATAAAACTTGTGTATTTTTATGGGGTACCACGTGATATTTTGTTATATGTATACACTGTACTATTTATGCCATGTTTCTTAAACATTTAAGGTTTCTATGCAGTGAAAACACTTCCACTTTTGTTGAAATATACAGTAGATATATTGTCATCTGTAGTCATTCTACTTTGCAACAATAAACATGACTAATATTCTATTTAAGAAAGTCTAGTGTAAGTAGAAACAATTCTTCCTCCAAGCGCTTGGTGTCTTATTAAGCAAGTCATTGTGAAGTTAACTGCACTTGGGGCATATGAATTCATGCTAATTAAATAGATAAGGACCAAGTTGTTCATGTATAATGAAATATGAAAAGATCGGCTGTATAATCTGTTTACATACTTTGATGAGTCCACTTTTTTATACCTGGCAAAGGTAGCATTCATCATATCAGAAATATACTAAAGCATGGAATTGGGAATTGGTACAAGGATTAAATATATGTTTTACATATTTAATTGTATTTCTTTGACCAGATCCTTGGCTAGCTTTCTGTAATAGTAATACTTTTTGTAGTTTAGGGAGTAAAAATATTTATTGTAGAGAAGGTTGAGAAAATATTTTTTAAAACATTGGTTTATAAAACTTTGAGGCTAGTTTAATTTCAGATGGCAGACATACTCTCTCAAGACAAATATAAGGGATACTGCAAGTGGAAACAAAAATTGTTAATGTGTTAATATGTTAATAAAATGTTAATGTTAAAATGTTAAATGTTAAAATGTTAACATGTTAATAAAAATTGTTAATGGATTAATATGTTTTTTTCCTTTATACTTCTTTTTCTTAAGAAATTTCTTAAGTGAGAGAATAGGGCTAAATGTCCATTTTTTTGGAAGTTTTAACAATTCTAGGCAATATTTAAGGAATTTTTGGAATTCTCATTTTAGTCATTGGTTTAATGACCTTATGAAGTTGCACACTTATTAATCTAAGCTACTTTGTAGGCATAGGTATTATAGTCTAAGGCTTTACAGACAAAAACACAACACTGTCTGTTAGATGACTATAGGTAGCAAAAAGGCCTAAGTTATGGCTCAAAGGAGTAAGGACTTTGCCTGGCAAATCTGAGGCTCTAGATTCAAAAAGAAGAAGATCAGAAATTAATTTCCTGTTCAATTTCTTTTTAATGCTACTGGCAAACCACTTCCCATTTGCAATCATCTTTGTACTTTCTATGTCTTTTATATAATTTTCTTCATATTTGCATATGAAATTATAGTTTTGTAAATTTGATAATTATCTACTTTCTTGTAGGTAGGTAGTTTCTCAATTTAATGATGTGATTATGTATGATTTATTTTGTCTTAAGTTGAAAATATTTAAGCCAAATGTGGTTTTTAACACTTAACCTTCCCAATACTTAGAAATATATATATATATATATATATATATATATATATATATATATATATATACACACACACGCACGCGCACACACACACACACACACAGAAAGTTTGTTACTTAACCTCCTGATGAAATGGCTGACTGGGCCCTATGCCTCAGGATAGTAGGAAAAAAAATTGACATATTATTTCCATTGAATATAGTTTTCATTCTTTTGTGAAGGCAAAAAATTATAGAACCATCACAATCAGACCCATCATGGCACTGTGCTTAAACTGCAACAGAAGATTTTGTGTGATGAGCTCCTGATCTAAGTTGCGCTTCCTTTTGATCATAATATTTTGAGAGTCTTTTCTTTCTGAAGCTGCATTCTGTTTTTCCTTTTTCCCCCCTTCCATACTGGGGTTTGAACTCAGAGCCTCTATTTACTAGGCAAATGCTCTACCATGTGTTTGGTAAAGTTTTCAACCTTTTGTGTGTGGGGGGGGGGATATTTTTTTGGTTTGGGTTTTGCTTTATTCTTGGGCTGGTCTAGCCTATGATCCTCTTGTTTGCCCTTTGTTGGAATTTTGAGGTAATAGGCATGTACTACCATCTCAGCTGTTCATTGTGATACAGTCTCTTGATTTGCTTCTCTTACCTGGCTTGACCCAAATTATGATCTCATGATCTTCACTTTCCAAGTAGCCTGTATTACAGGAAGCAGCCACTGTGCCCATGTTGCACAGTTGTATTTTCATCCTATTTGCATGTTCTAGTTAAAGTATTCACACTTTTTATTTTGAAGATCGTTCAGATACTATTGTAAATTGAACAAAATTACTTTATTGGCAGTCTTTGCAGGGTATATTCTGTTTTGTATAAAGATGAGGGCTTTGCTATATATTCTGTAGTTTGAAGTAATCATTATAGAGAAGTCCCAGTGATGTATAGTATCTAGGATGCTTTATTATTATTATTGGGATATAAGGCTCTTGTGAGTTTGTTCTCTGTGACAGTTTAACTCCCTTGTCAAATATGAGTCTAAGGCTTTACCTCGGCAAAACAATTCGTTATGACAGGAGAAACCTCAGTCTTCAGATTGCTTTCTTTTACAAATTTATTCAGTGTATCAAATACCAGGTGTATTGTGTTTTTTAACTGGAAAATAATTAAATTAATACTCTCAGTTTATATTTTCCTTGAGGTAAAATTGTCATATGTTTCCCCTTTTTCCATTTAAAATGCAAAGATTCATTCCCACTGCCCAAAGGAATAGAGAACCTGTGGAATGAGTGTGAAGGAGCTATGGGGTTTATTTTAGTGGTATTTTTCAAATTTTGGTGGGCTTATTCTCTGTCATCAGGGCCCTTGTTAAGTATACAATTCTTAGATCTATTCTAGAGCAAGAAAATAAGAATTTCTAAAAGCTGACATGGTATCTGTTTTAATAGATGCTTCAGTTCTTTTGTGCAGTAAATGAAATTTTTATTAGTTACATATTTGTATATTTGTATGTATTTGTTCTATATGTTAGTTTTTGGACTACTCTGCTTGACCTTTTCCCCCATTTCAATCATTTAAGGGAAACTTATTACTATATTTGTTTATAAACTCTTATTGTTCTGATTTTACACCCTTTTTTTTTCCCTGCAAGTATGGGGATTGAATTCATAGCTTCAGATTCTCCCTTAGCTTCTTTGCTTGTGGTGTGCTTTTACTTCACTCATACAGCTTCTTTTTTTTCTTTTTCTTTTTGGTTAATTGGAGATAATAATCTTGAAAATTTGTCTCCATTGAATTCCCTTCTAAATATGTATGAACTTAGGATAAATTCCAAGAAATGAAAATCATGCTAAAGGAGATTTTTCCAGCATCTTGCCTTTTAAGAAGGTTGTATTAGTTACATTTCCTGCATTACTATGTAAGATCAAGGTAAACTTGACTACAACAGTATTCTTTTTTCTAATCTGATTGGTAAAACCTAGTATATAATTTTGAATCCTTTTTTGTTACTACCAAAGTAATTGCTTTTGAGAATTTTGATATTGAGAGATAAATCTTGTTTTTATGTTTGGATACTCAGTAAATTTCAAGCATTGGTGGCTTACACCTTTAATCCTGATACTCAGGAGGTTGTGATCTGACAATTTTGTTCCAAACCAGAAGGGGCAGGAAAATCTATGAGACACTTATTTTGAATTAACTACCAAAAAACTGGAAGTAGAGTTAGCTTTGAGCAAAAAAGCTCAAGGACAGTACCCAGGTCCTGAGTTAAAGCACCAGGACCAACAATTATAAAAAAATCAGGTCTGCCAGGTGCTGGTGGCTCACGCCTATAATCCTAGCCACGCAGGAGGCTGAGATTTGAGGATCACGGTTCAAAGCCAGCCCGGGCAGAAAAGTCCATGAGACTCTTATCTCCAGTAAACTACTAGAAAACCGGAAGTGGTGCTATGGCTCAAGTGGTAGAGCACTCGCCTTGAGCTGAAGAGCACAGGGACAGCACCCATGCCCAGAGTTCAAGCCCCACGACCAACAACAACAACAAAAAAAGTCAGGTCTCATAATTTTAACTTAGTTTCATCTAGTTTTAATTACTGATTTGTGATACATCCTATCTTCCTATTTATATTAAAATCTTTTTTATTTTCAAAGATTTAATTTTGACTAAAATCTATAGAAATATATTCTCATATTTATGTGACTGATAACCAGAAAGTGTAAATTTATACTTCTAAAAAGTATAAATATCTATTAGTGCTAATTGCTACAGATGAAGTTGTTATGGTAAAACTGATTTTCATGTCTAGAAACTTTGTCTTGACTATGCTGTAAGTTTGATTGGGGAAACAAAACCATTTCCTATAAGTAGGTTTTCAATATGTAGAAAACCTGTGTCCTCTGTTTCTTGGAAAATGACTTGTTGTTTAAAATGCCAAATAGCATATAATAATATTAAGTGGAAAAATTAGTGTAACTTAAATGTGTGCATAAAGTTATCTTTTACTGATTGTTGTGGTATTAACGAAGTTTTTGAGCTGAGTTATATTTCTAAAGAAAATAATTATAATCTTTTTTGTAGGAATCACATGCAGCCCAACTACAGATCCTTATGGAATTCCTCAAGGTTGCGAGAAGAAATAAGAGAGAGGTATATTATTTTGTATGTTTTACATGATGTTTCATTTGTTCTTGTTCCTACTTTGTAAAACATTTGAAGTACAAAGTATTAAAATATTTTTTAAAACATTTAACTTTTCAGAGAATTTTCTCACATTTTAAGTTTGTTTTGTTGTTTTACCTTTACACAACTTTTGGAAATTATTTCTTGATAGACCTATTTATACTTGGAAGTAAAGTCATGGGGGCTAACTGAAAGACAATTTTATATTCATGGCTTTATAACTAGAAAGTTTAATACTTATCAAATTACTCAGTCCATTCACACCTGTACAAAATACAGGAAAATCTAATAAAATTATGTGATCTGAACATGCTAAAATAGTTCTGAAATCGTTTTATTTTTGATGCCATTACTGTGGTTTGAACTCAGGCCCTTATTTCTGCCTCTTAGCTTTTCTGCTCAACTGTTTAAGCTAAAGCTCTACTGGTTAATTGGAGCTAAGAATCTCATGCACAGCCTTTTCTGCCTGGACTAGTTTTGAACCAGGATCCTCTAGTCTTCTCCTGCTAATAGTTAGGATTATAACTTTAGCAACCAGTGTACATCCTTTTTTTTTTTTTTCTTAAAGAACTATCTAATTAGGGCACCTCCACTCCTTAAGAAGATACATACACATCTACTATACTTTGAGTTAACCTATCTGAAAATAAAATAAGTTTTTATTTTGACGATATAATCTGTGTACATTGCCAGAATTTTACATTGGCTTAGTGGGATAATTCTTCTTTTGATTATCCATTGTGTTTAAATTTTTCTGACTTTGTTCAGATTAGATTTGGATTATGCTGATATTAACAGACAAATATTTCTTAGGTGATTTGTGATTGTATTTTTCTTTTTTTAATGGAAGACATTGTTTTTTTAATTTTTAAATTTTATTGTAAAGGTGATATACAGAAGGATTATATGTAAGTCAGGAAATGGGTACCTTTCCATTTGAACAGTGTTACCCTCTCATTCTCCCTCAGTTTTTCCCCTCCCAACACCCCACCCCAAAGTTGTATAGTTTATTTCCAACATAGCTTCTAGTATCACTGCTGAATTGGTTCACCCTTTGTTGTATGGTTTCTGTGCTTCCTCTTCCCCTCCCCAAATCAGATAAACTTATATACAAGACAAAGGGTACAGAAATCCAAAACAGTGACAAAAGGGGATAAACCAAAAAAAAAGGAAAGAAAAACCCCACAAATAATACAATAAAAAACCTCTTGTTTCCATTTCTTGGATGATTGTATTTTTCTCATCCTTCACGTTTGCTAAGTTAACAATTGTGATCTTAGTATGTAGGTGTCCTGTTAGTACGAACATTATCTTCATTGTATGTTTAAGATGTACTTGTGTTATTTGGATTTTTTTTTCCTGTTGAGGGGCATTACCGGGGTTTGAACTCAGGTCTTTGTACTCAAGTCGGCTTGCTTACTTGCTCCTCTGGTACTTTACCACTTAAGCCACACACACCCCCAGTCCTCTTCAGGCTGGCTTTCAACCACCATCCTTTGGATTTAGGATTATAGGCTAGGATTATAAATTTGAGCTGTTGGCACCCAGCTGTGTTTTTGGTTATGTAGTAATTCTGTTTTTGTCTTGGCAGGGGTTGAGGGGTGGGACATGAAATGATATCCAAACATTGATTTGTTTAAATATCTTATGGCATAGTACTCTTATTAAACTATACATGAGAATCCCCTGAGAATTCTGTTAAATGCAAATTCTTATTAAGGTCTTTGGAGACAGATAGTATGAATATTAGCCAGCTGCAAGTGATGCAATAACATTTGGTCCTTCGAGCACACTTTTGAGTAACAAGGCTGAAAATTTTATAATGTATAAAAATTATTAATCTGATGTATACACTCAACATTTATGCTGTAGAAATAAGGAAAATCACTTTTTCAAATTTGTGTGTATCTCCCTTTTGAGAAAAATGTATGAAATTTATTTGTAATTATTTACTTTTTATTTCCATATTAGATTTTGAACTCATTGAGGATGAAATTTAGTGCAAAATAACATTCCATATAAAGCATTACTAAATATATCAATGAAGTGAACTGCTCAAGCATAAACATATTTGAGGATTACATAAAACAGATTTTGATTTAAAGTTCTACTTAGCCCCTGAGTGTTTCCCAGAATTAATCACTATGTCTTTTGGGGGCTACTGATGTTTGCAGCCAGTACTTTGGACATAGTTTCAAGTGATAAAGGTCTGAAATGAGATGTTTTACTGTTACTTATCAGGCTACGTGGCCACTGTTTCATAGATGCTAGCAGAAGACCTGAGATTAATGAGTTGAAGATAACAGACTTCCTAAATCTTGAATTATTTGGCAATGTCAGCTTTAATTTTTTTCTAGTCTCCCAAATTCCACAGGGGCACTGTGGAGATGAGCTAAGATAGATGTTGTAGACCCACTGGGTTTGTATACAGCTGAAGAATGCTGAGCTTAGCAAAGAAACCCAGTGTCTTCAAGAGGAATCTGTTCAGACTTCAGGGACTGTTTATTGGTCAGAAGACAGATCTCCCCCGGATGTATTTACTATTTCTTTTCTTCCAGGCTGCTCTTTGTACCTATAATCTTCGAAGAAATAATTTATAATAAAAACTATCAGCTGACATGTGTGCAGCAATTGGAGGAATCAATAGAGAACTTTTTTCTCAACAATAACTTCCTCATAATTCTAATATGCCCTTTCCCTGTTGTGGCTGATATTTTTCCGTAACACCTTTTATGATACTAGGTTGGATCCCATAGCTCTCTTTACTGTTTCTATATTTCTACTGTTAAATTTTTGGGTGAAATGCTGGAGAAGCTTTTGGCTTGATTTATCTTGAATCATATTCCGTTGGGCTATATTTTCTTATATTAGGTAACCAAGAAACAAACATACTAGTTCCAAGTACTTCTAAATATTGGATCCTCTAGTGACCACTGACTACATTGTCATGAATACATTTTGTTTTTCTTGTTCCTAATTTATTCATGATTGAGTGACTTACATTTCAGTTTAAGAAACTGGATTAACTTTTTACCTGCTTTCTTGACTAAACAGTATAACTTCCTTCACAATTGGAGTCTAGTATTGTAGTGTCTTATAAAATCAAAATATGTTGAAATCTCAAAATACACTGGATGTTTTCCCTTTTAAGTGTACACAGAATGAAATGAGATGAGGACATTGGCATTTTTAGTCTTCAAAACTATATTTGTTAATCCTGTCTCTTGGAGTATAGTTTATTGTTGCATTTTATTCCAGTAATATATAGATTGAATTAGAAACAAATTATTACTTGGAATTTTTCCTGTGATTGTCCCTGAAAATTAACTTTGTGATTTTGTTTGTGATTCTAATTACGTTATTGTTTTAGACATATATAACACATGAGTTAAACATGATGTTCAGACTTAACATAGTTATTACTTCACTGTCGCATCTAGCTATTAGGGCCTTTTAGGTGCTGGCTATTTACTTTTCAGTTTCAGTTTATCCCTACTCATTCTTTTCAGAATACTTAGAGAACAGAAAGTGCCTACTAGGCGTTTGCATTGTATATAGAACAAATTACCGTCAAACTTGAAGGCTTTTAAACATCAACCATTTATTATCTCCAGTCAGGAAATATAATACACAACAGCCAGATTGCTTGGCTCCATACTGTTGAAAAAGCTGCAATCAAGGTTGACCATGGCACAATTGTCTCAATTTTGACTGATATAGTAACCTTTCTAAGCCTTATTGGCTTCTTTACACACACTCAGCTTTCCTCAGAGGTGTAATGACTGAGAAAAATAGATACCATCTGCTTTTTATATCTTAATCTTTGATGTTTTATCTTAACATTTTTGTTGTTTTCTCATTGTTAGGAACAAATTATTAGTATAGTCCAAACATGAGGGTTCCACAAAGTATGTGAATACTAAAAGGTGGAGATCTTGGAAGATCATTTTAGATCTGCCTACCAAACCATTTAATAACTAAACATGTTAATCTCCTTCTATAGTTAGTTTGGACATAAGGTCTTTGGATCCCAGTTAGAAGCCAAATGTTCAAATCTGTACCAGCATTTGAGTAAATTGCTTTATCTTTCTTTTGATTTAATTTTGGATAGACTTTTGGATGATTTTAGTATCTCTTTTTGAATAATTTTGGTTTTCTTTAGAGTTAAAATTGAATTTTAAACTTTTATTTGAAATAAAATAGAAAACTTTATTAATCAAATTTATGGTTTAAAGTGAAGTTACTGTGCATGTTAACTAATATCTTGATGGAGCAGCAAAATATTTCTACAACTCCTGAGGACATCTGCTTTTTCAGAGTACAGCCTTTTCACTTGCCCACTAATTTATCAATATCCATTTATTTACAGCAGTCAGTACCTTGTCTTTCTTTTTTTTTTAATTTTGTAAGTAGTTATACAAGGGAGGTGCCATATAACAAAGCAGCTTATGGATTTGATGCATCTTGGTCAGTGTCACCCTTTCACATTCTTACATCTATTTGACCCACTCTTTCCCTTACTATTCTTAATTTTTTGTGTATACAAAATGACTGCATTCTTCCTCTCTTCATTTAGAGATTTCCATTCTTAAGGCATTGTATTTCTCATAGTTAAAGAAGCCTTAACTTATGAGCATAATGAAGATGAACTTTTGTTAGTGTTTTGCTACTTAAGTCTATATATAGGTGTATTTTTGGAGCTATATGTAAATGTGCCTGTGCACTATGTAATCATTTATTTCTGTCTTTAGCTCAATGTTATGATTCATCTGTATGGTTGTATATGATTATAATTGAGTTCTGTTTTATAGTGTTTGCTTAAATATTTCTCTATTTTTTGGTAAAAATACTTGTAGATGGATATTTGGGTGGTTTTCAGTTTGTAATATTCAAAACAACACTAGTATCTCCTATATATATTTATATATGTACATATATATATCTGAGTATATATTAGCATAGATACATGTATGGGATGTATTTAGATGTCCTAGGGCATATATATTCCTATTGAACTGGTAGTGCCAACGTGTTTCCCTAAATAATGTTCCTTGTATTAAGTACTCCTCCTATAGATACTCTCAGTGTTTGTATTATATTTGCCAAAAGTTTGTATCAGTATGGATTTTCCAGTTTAACTAAATGTGAAGTACATATTACTATTTTGGGGGGTTTTAAATTTCATTTTCATGGTAATAGGTTTAGTACTTGATACTATGTTTATTGGCCATTGGAGAATTTTTTTAAATATATGTTTTAAGACTTTGCAGGGATTTTTTGTTCAGTGGGTTTTCCTTAGTTTGTATATTCTAGATATGAATTCTTTGTAAAATTGATCTTTCACAAATGCCTTTTCTTCTAATTAGGCTGCTCCTAACTTAATGGTGTCCTTTAATGTACATAGAATTTTAACTTTAATAGACTCTAATTAATTGTTCTTTTTATAATGTCTTCTGAGTCAGAGAAGAAATCTTCACCTATGATCATGATGATATTTTCCTATTCATATTTTTGTTTGAAAGTATTTTCTTATCTTTGACATTAAGCCCTATACCTGGAGACACGTTTTTGTGTATACTATGTAGGGAGTGATCTTTGTATATGGATACCCAGCTGTCTAAGCATGTTTAAGTCCATCCTTTTCTCTTTTGCTTTGAAGTTTGAACCTATCACATATCATGTGTCCCTATAGGCTCTTCTCTTCCACCATTCTGTTTGTGTATCCATTGGACAATACTATACAATAAATACTAGAATCTTTGTTGTACATGAAACTCTTGGCTATTCATGGCTATTTGCATTTCTATGTATATTTTTTTTAATCAATACATTTCCATGGTAAATCTGGTGAGATTTTTATTGGGATTACTTTGACTCTAGATAAATTTGGGAGAATGTATCTTTACAATGTATCCTTTAATCCATAACATGATATTCTGTATGTATATTTATAGGTCTTTTAAAATATCCAAAAAAATCTTTATTTGAGATTTAATCATTTTATGTTATTATTAATGATGTCTGTGTCTTTAATTTTAGTTTTCTTACTGTTGCTGGCAAATGGATATTTATTTGATTTTTACAAGTTGTTTTTCAAATAACCAGCAACTTGTTACACTCATCAGTTCTAATTTATTTGTAGATTCTTTTATGTTTTCTATGTACACATCATAATCTGCAAAAAATAACAGTTTAGTGTCTTTCTTTATGATCCTTATATCTTTATTTATTTTTCTTGTCTTACTCTGCTGGCTAGGACACCGGTACAATGATGAATAGAAGTGGTGATAGCTGGGCATCCTAGTCTTGATGCTGATCTCAAAGTGAAAGCATTCGACGTGTCACCATTAGGTATGATGTTTTCTGTAGGTTTTTTTTTTTTTAGCTATTTTTTTTAATCATTCATGGAAATTTCTATTTTTATTCCCAGTTTACTAAGAGAACTTTCCTTCATTACTAGGGGGGTTGAGTATTCTCCAAATTTTTTTGTGTATCTAAGACAATCATGATTTTTTTTCATTCTGTTAATGTGAATAATTATAATTACATTGGTTTAACATTAGAAAGTTAATCACCTGTGTACTTTAAATGACCAGACATCCTGATTGTCTCATCTCCCTAATCTCATATCTCCTGTTTTAGGTATCCCTGCCAGGATACTTAGTTCCCCTGTTTGTATTCCTTGTGTAAACCAAACATACATTATATATTCTCTTCAGTATGGTTTGGATTATTAACATTTTGTTAGGATTTTTGCGTTTATGTTCATGAGTAAGACTGTGAAATTATTTTTTTCTAACACTAGTCTTACGGCAATTTACCATAAAGATGGCTGTTTTTCTCAAGTTGGGAAATGTATATTCTTCTATTTTTGGAAGACTGTAGTTTAGAATTAGTGTGTTTGTCAAATCAGTAAAGATCTTGTTGGAGAAGACATCTGGACATTTTGATTTGTTTGTAGGAAGTTTTAGATTACAGATTGAGTTGAATAGTTACATAAATAGTTATTCAAGGTTTGGTTTCGCTATCACTTTATTTTTAAAGAAATTCTTTCATAATAATTTCAAAACATTGGCATAAGATTCATCTTAATAGAATCTGAAATGTTTATGTTCCCAGGATTTCTAGTGATGTCTTATATTTCCAATATTGCTTTGTGTGTTTTCTCTTGATCAGTTCTTGCCAGGGATGTTTCTGTTTTCTGGGTTGAATCTTTTAATCTTACTCTGTTTCGTGTTTGTTTTCCATTTTATTCATTTATGTTGTTTATTATTTTCATCTCTTTAATTGATTTAATTTGTTATTTCCCATTTATTTAAATTTTCATATAATTATGCAGATTACTTTTGTCATATAGCATATAGGCATATAATGCCTCCTTCCTTCCTCCCTCCTTTTATTATAGTTTTTTCTTAAGCTTGTGTATTATTTAGAAGTAATCTTTTTACTTGAACATGAGGATTTTTTGTTATGCTTTTCTATTTTAATGGAATTACAATCAGAAAATTCTCTGAGTTCTCTTTTGTCAGATGTAATATTTTCTGTACCACCTGGTAGTTGGTTAGGTTTTGAAGTATTTGTGCTTGAAAAGAATGTTTTCTGCAGTTGCATGGTGCAGTATAAAGTAGTTAAATGTATAGTGAGAATTTTCTACATCTTTACTGAGTCTTTGTCTTCTTGAATCAAATTCTGAATCATTTGAGAAGAGTTTATCACTAACAGTATATAGAAAATATTATTTCAATATATTATTAGTCTCAGCCTTTTAATTGTGTATTTAGGCTTTGTATTTGATGTAACGGTTGTAACTTAACCCTGGCCTTTTATTGTTTGTTTGTTTTTTCCCCCTTTATTGTAGTTGTTCTGGGTGTTTTTCTGTTTTCTCGACACCTTTTTCAGAATATCATTTTGGTTCAACTAGTTGTTTTGAGTACTTATCTTTGAATACATTTTTAGTTGTTCGACTAGGTATTATATGATGTGTAATGCTAGGTTCTACTGGTGTGAACATATGTTTTCATTTACTTTTAAATAAGCTATTTTATTTTTCCATCCCTTCTATTTATTCATTTATTTATATTTGGCTTTGCTTGATACACATTTAAAAATTTCTATGGCGAGTTCAGTGAAGTCTTAAAATCAAATCTGCCATTAAGTATTTAGTATGACTGTCTTTAGGGTGATACGAAAAAAGAAATGTTTGGCTTGCTGTAATTGGTTCTTGTTGTAGTTTGGTTAAGTGCTTTACTTGATTTAGTAGTAGCTCTTTCAGAATTAATGTACATTTGAGTTTTGCCATTCTCTTTTCTTTACCAGCTGTCTTTCCTGAAAGTGTAACTGATATCCTTTCCTTTGGTCTGCAGTAATTAAATAATTTATTCTAAGTTATATTAGTTTATATAAAATTAAATCCTGAGAGTTTAATACTTAGGCATATTTTTATCAAACCCAGTAGTGAAGGCGAAGTAAATGAGTTCCAAATATATGTACTTATACCAGAGCTAATATTAACATTATGAGTAGTTAGGAATTTTGAACTATTCCATTTTTAAATTTTTATTCTAAGATGTTCTGAGAATGTTCTTTACTTTTAAAGTTTAAATGTTCTTACAAAATTTTTTGACTACTCCACTGTGAGTTCTTGCTATGGTGTCTTAGGACTATTTTCTTTGCTATTGTATGTGTATGTCTGACTTCAAACACTATGGTAAGGCAAAGGATATTCAGGACTTTATCATTCTCAATTTCTGATTTTTCACAAAACATGAGTTAATCTTCATAGGCTTTTCTCTATACATCTACCATTCTTGGTAGGTTAATGTTGTTTACAGAGTAAATTTAGTCTTGTTCTTTTTTTCTGCTGCTTTCAGCTAGCTGTCCTATTTATTTGTTCAGTTTAACAGCACTAAAATGTGTTTCATTGCTTTCTTAATAATGTATAGTTTCCTTCAGAATCTTGAAATGGAAATGCTTCAAAATGGAAATGCCTAAACCATGTGGGATTGTGGTTTAGGCATGCATTCAGGCAGAAAATAAGACCCTGTCTCAAAAATAACCTGTGCAGTAAAGGGCTAGAGGTGTGAATCAAGTGTTGAGTACCTATCTATCAAGCATAAGACCCTGAGTTCAAACCTAGTTCTGCTTCCCCCCAAAAAACACTGAAGAATCTTGTAATAAAATCATCCATATGTTCTTTCAATAGAAACATCCATATGTTCTAAGATTATTTATGATTGTTTACAAACAACTCTCTGTTATCAGAAATATTTAAATACGTCTTTGTATGTTGTGAAAATGTAATACATTTTACTGACATGAAGTATGGTTGAGGTGCAATAGGAAAGATTAAAAAGACAAAATAGCTTAAGTATGTTATAAAAGTCCATGAAAGGGTTCTGTTAGGATGGTTATATGGGTTGCAGGTATTAAATAGACTTGTTTCTCATAAAGAAGGGTATTTACAGCTTTCATGACAAATTTTTAGATTTTTATTTTAAATAATTAAAGGAGGTAATATGTTCTTTGCATATCTTATATTTTAAGTCACTTATTGCTATTGTTCGTTTTTATTTTTTTATTATGAAGTCAATTCCTATTAAAAGTATAAAGATAAATCTATATTTACATTTTAACACTGGAACTTAAAGCTAATATTTTTATGTGTATTAGTTCTTATCCACCAAACCTAACATCAGTGCTCAGTGTTTAAAAAGAATTAATTTCCCAAGTATGGAGTTCTTTGTGAATATGGACATGTCAGTGGTTTGGTTGAGAACATTTTCTGTCTTTCTTTAATCCATAGCAACTGGAACAGATCCAGAAGGAACTAAGTGTTTTGGAAGAAGATATTAAAAGAGTGGAAGTAAGAAATCAAGAATTTCTCACATCTCTGATAACTTTTTATTGTCGTGAAAATGTCACCTTTTCTTTAAGTTACTCCATTAGATTTATGGGATTGGTCTTGGTTATAAAGGAAGTACCAAATGTTAATTATAATTAATAGTGCATTTTTTGAAAATAAAGATTTTGAACATTTTTTGTTGATAAAATGTAATTTGAGTTTGTTTTCATGCTATACTATTACCATAATTCTTGATTAAATTCAAGAAAAATTACGTAATCTTCATTATATCAATTTAAATTAACTCCGACAAAATCCTCTATCTTTAGATTGAAATGATTTATTATTAAATTTTCTAAGTAAAATATTTCACATGCTGTATGCAATACTGAGGTTAACAAAGATTTATAAAAATATGTTTTCAATATTATAGCAGTTTTTAACTTACTGTTAGGTGAAGTCACTGCTTGTGGATAAATTTAGTTCATTGTATATGTGTATATAATTATTCACATGTTAAAATCTATTTTATTTTACTTTGTTTTGCGTGGGACCTGAGGCTTGAATCAGCTGCTGGGTGCTGTCCCTGAGCTTTTTTGCTGAAGGATAGCTTTCTACCTACCACTTGAGCCCAGTAGCATGTTACTACTGGCATCTGACAACACATGTTACACTTTTACTGACAGACATTACATGTTAAGGAATAATGATACAATATTTTGTGGACTGCCATGGGTCTGCCATACTTATCTATTTATATTGTTACTTCTAGCTACTTAGCTAGAAATAATTTTGCCTAATTATACTTTTTTACTGTTAAATCTGCTGTTGATATTATTAAGAGACTGGGATAACTAGCTACTCATAGCTCATGTATTATGCTGTTCGCCTTTCTAAGAATATTTACTTTTTCTGTATTTGCAGGCTTCATTTGTGGTATATGGTGTTGATTAGAATTTACAGTTCCTTAACGTTATATACTATCAAAGTCTTGCCTCCTAAAATTTCAGTTTCTCTTTGCTTTTGTACTTTATGGAAAGGAATCTTTGAGAAATTTGAGTATTAAGACCAAAAGGACTGATAAATACTTGTGATTAGAAAGGAGTATAATAGATCTTTTTTATTAGTGGAACTTTTCTTTGGAATATCTACTGTAATTCAAAAAATTTGTTATTTCAGGAAATGAGTGGCTTATACTCTCCTGTCAGTGAAGATAGCACAGTGCCTCAATTTGAAGCCCCTTCTCCATCACACAGGTAAAAAGCTATGCTCTAGTGAATATTTAGGACTTAAGTTACAGAAAAGCACACATATAACACTAGCCCCGCAGACCCTTTTTATTATAGCATATGAAACCCTTGAGAAATTACTTTTGGTTATGATCTATCTATCTATATATATATATATATATATATGGCACATGCATTTTCTTTCATTCTAGGAATAGTATTTTCAGTTTACTGTTGGATTAAAAATTGAGTAAATTTTTTATGGTATGAATTAGATGACATTCAAAATCTGAATTTGGAAACATGATATGGTAAAATTAGAAATAACTTGGAGTTTTTAGCCAAGTGCTGGTGCCTCACACTATCATCCTAGCTATTTAGGAGACTGATACCTTAGGATCCTGGTTTGAAGCCAGAAACAGGAGAAAAGGCAATGAGCCCTTACCTTCAATTTGCCACCTAAAAAACTGGAAGTCCAGCTGTGGTTCAAAGTGGTAGAGCACTAGCCTTGAGTAAAATAGCTCAGGGACAGTGCCCAGGCCCTGAGTTGATGCCCTATGACTAAAAACAACAACAACAACAAAAAATGGAGGGGTTTTGGTATTCAGCGTATTATGTAGCCCAAACTGGCTTTGAACTTGGTGAGCCTCCAGTGTCAGCTTCCCAGTTACTGGCCTGTACCACCACAGATGTTCCTTCTCTATACCTCTTCTCCTTTTGGTTTTTTGAGATGGAAATCTTACTAAGTTGTCTAGCTTGACCTCAAACTTGAAATCTTTCTGTCACTAATTTAAGTCTTTCCTTCTATATAAGATCCCTAGATTTTAGAATGATTCTTGCTTCATTTAGTGTTTATACACTATAATGAGTTAATACTATCCTTGTGAGACTAAAATTCTATGTCATGGATTATGTGCTAATTTATTTTATTTTTTTAATTATTTAGTTTTGTTGTTATTGTTGTTAAGCTGGAATTAAGTGTTTCGCATTTTCACTTGCTTTTTCTGATTACTGTGTCAGTAGGACCACATCTCTTCTTGGCTTTTTTGCTGATGGAATTGGACATAGAGTGTTGCATACTTTACGCTGTTTTCACTACAATCCACAGACTTCAGACTTTTGAACAGTTAGGATTCTAGACATAATCTGCCAGAATCCAATGTATTATAATAGCTTTTTGAGTTTTGAGTGTTCATGCTTGAAATGTTCCAAGTAAGAGCTATTTTACATGAACTCACTTTTTTAAAAAAATTTATTACATTTAAGACAATGGTTCAATATCTTTTTTAGACAAAATCACATTAGGATAATGTGGATTATCAGGAACTCCAATAGTAGTTAGTATACAGGATTGCATTAACTTTCAGAAAGTTATTATAGATCTAGTTTGGTGCAGGATGTGGAAAAGCAATAAAAGGGATGTTTTTAGTGAAGAAACATTCCTGAAAAGTTTAATATTTTGCATATGAACTATAGTGTATAGAATTCTCTGTGGTTACCTTAATTAGTTTTCCTGTGTGTTTTACTTTGCTTAAAACATTTCTAATGACCAGGTATGTGGGAAATAGATAACTTTAAACCTAGTTTTTCTTTTCTGACATGAACTCTTAGATAACTGGATAGTTGAGTGAGTATATAAAGGGAGTGAAAATTTTCACATCACCAATATTTCAGTAATAAATGATCATTCATTCTCATTGTCATATGCCTCTTTGTTTAAGAATTTTTATTTGTTGTACCCTGACATTTGTTACTTAGTCTTATACTATTATATTTTTCCTTCTTTATTTTTCAGTAGTATAATTGATTCTACAGAATACAGCCAGCCTCCAGGTTTCAGTGGCAGTTCTCAGGTAAATAAAATATTTAATGGTTTTAGTTGTGCCATGAGTATAATTACTGAAGTTGTAAATTAGTAACTTTTCAGTAACCCAGCATTTATTTATTGAAAGTATGTTTGTGTGTGTAAATGTGTGTCATAAGGCTTGAACTCAGGGCCTAGATGCTATCCCTGACTGAGCTTTTGTGCTAAGGCTAGTGCTTTCCCACTTGAGCTACAGCTTCACTTCTGGTGTTTCAGTAATTCATTGGAGATAAGATTCTTATACCCAGGCTGACTTTGGACCATGAGCCTCAGATCTCAGCCTCCTGAGAAGCTAGGAATACAAGAGTGAGCCACCAGTGACCAGCAGCTTTTAAGTTCTTTAATTATACTCTCACAACAGAATAATTAGGCAAGACCATCTATCATTGATGAAGTGCAACAAAACCAACATTACTCCATGAACTTGTTTAAGCATATGAAAAAACCAAAGTGACTATGCAAACATTTCAAAATGTTAAATACATACAAGTCTTGACTAATATATTACTGCTTCTTTTCCTGTTACAATTTCAGCCTCACTCTAGTTTCCTGTCCTATTATTATTACTATTTTTTACTATTGTTTTTAATTCTTAGCAGTGGTAGGGTCATCACCAGCCCTTTTCTACTTCTACAAAAGATTTAGTGTACTTAGTCATTGATTAATCTCATATAACTGATTAATCTCATATAACTGTTTCCAGAGGAAAGCCTGTCCTTCCTGTGACACCTCTGTGTGTGTGTATATGTGCACGTGTGCATGTGTGTGCACACTACAGCTACAAGAGCTTGAATGGCCTGGGCACTGTCCATTAGCTTTTTCTCTCAAGGCTGGCATTCTACTACTTGAGCCAGCTCCATTTCTGGCTTTTTGGTGGTTAATTGGAGATAAGCATCACAGACTTGCTGTTCAGGCTGGCTTTGAACTGTAATCTTAGCTATTAAGGAGACGGAGATAAAGATTGTGGTTGAAAGCCAACCTGGCAAGGAATGTCTATTAGTGAGACTCTTAACTTCAAAAACCAGAAATAGTGGTGTGGCTCAGATGGTAGAGCACTAGCTTAGTATATAAAAAGCTAAGGTCTGTGAGTTCAAGCCCTCAAACTGACTGGTACAAAAAGAAAAATGTGGATAGTTAAGTCATTTATGTAACTTACAATTATCTGCATACTCTTGTCTGCACACCTGGATTTCTAGGTCATTGTAAATTTATCGTGTAACAGCTAGGGAATAACAAAAAAGTTTATACATCCTCAGTACACAGGTTTTCTATCTATAGTTGCAGAATCTGCTTATGTGAGGACAAACTGTACCTTGTGTTATCAAATAATTGTAATTTACATAAAGCAAAAACTGTTAGAAACCAAAGAAAACGGCCAAGTGCCAGTTGCTTATGCCTATAATCCTAGCTGTTTAGAAGGCTGAGATCAGAGGATCATGATTCAAAGACAGCTCCAGCAACAGAAAGGCTGGGAGACTCTATTACAAATGAATCAAAATGCTGGGTTGGAGATGTGGCTCAAGTAGTCAGATGACCAAGTAAGCACACGGCCTTGACCTTGAGCACAAAACAAAGCTAAAGAAATATACATGCAAGAAAATAATGTTGTAAAATTTATTAATTAATGTAATTTTAAGAGAGAAACTGGTATAAAGTGAAGTTAAAGACTGAGGAAATATAGCTAGTAAGGTGAGATTTTTAAGCCAGGTGTTATATAGCTTCAGAGCCTGTGCTTTTAAGTGTTTATTCATTCAACCATTAGACTTTTTTTGAGTATCTGGTATTTATGAAGATCTAAGGTAGGCTTTGAGAGGATACATAGAACAAAAATAAACTACTAATCTAATTTGAAAGACAGAAATGTAAAAAAAAGAAAAGAAAAGTTCCATAGCATTTGGATTAAAAAGTAAAGAAGTAAGCCATTTGAATATCTTTGAGTAAGAAATTGAAGGAGAGTGAATGGGTTAATAAGCCCTGATGTAGGGTCATGCCTGATATAGTCCAGTTTAACTGAGCAGAGTAAATATTCAGAGAAAAGTAGATGAGGTAAAAAGCATAACAGGTGTAACATATACACAACTTTTTGGCCATTGTAAACAAATTGGATATTTTTAAGTTGAAAAAAGTACATATCTGTCCTTACATTTTTTTTAAATCAAAGAGCACAAATTATTTAGTCTTTGGAGCAATTAGAAAAATAAGCTAATTCTAAAATAGGATAATTTATACCATTTTCATTGTATCAATTAAAATAGTAAATAAATACATAAGTAAATAGAAACAAACTGATTCAATTTGGAAGCTAGTAAACTAGGGACTTCTCAACCATTTTATAAGTTCTGATACAGATATTTCAAAAAAAATGTCTTATAAGTGGTTGTACAAAAGGGTTTCAAGTCAACATATCAGTTTATGAGTACAATGCATCTTGATCACTTTCACCCTCTCACCTATCCGTCCCCTCAAGTTGCATTTTCACATGTGTACGTTGAATAGTATGATTGTATTTGCCCACCCTTCCTCTGTCCGTCATCTGCCCTCTTCTGTTGACTTCATCCCTCCAGCTACACATTTCAGCTTCCTGGTATTCATTTTCTTAAGGTATAAGTTATTCAGAATAAGAACTCAAATAATAGAATTTAGGCACTTAGCACATGCCTGTAGTCCTAGCACTTGATAGGCAGAGATAGGAGGATAAACCAGGATGAATCCATCCTAGGCTAACTAGTGAGATCCTGTCTCAATGTACAGATATATGTATATATACACACATATACATACATGTGCATGTAAATATATATATACCTATATATGTAAATATAGACATATAAATGGACATATATATAGACATATAAATGGAATTCATTTGTTTTTTGTTAACGTTGTTTGTATTTTTTGTTATTTACATATTTTTTTTATTGTTGGTTTGTCAGTTGTGGGGCTTGAACTGAGGGCTGGGCACTGTCCCTGGGCTGTTTTTCTCAAGGCTAGAAATGTACCACTTTGAGGCACAGCTCCACTTCTGGGTTTTTGAGTTAATTGAGTTTTTTGTTAATTGGAGATGTGTCTCATGGAGACTCTCTGCCAAGATCCTCAGATCTCAGCCTCCAGAGTAGCTAGGGTTACAGGCTTGAGCCACTGGCACCCACCTGTTTTTTTGGTGTGTTTTTTTTGTTGTTGTTGTTTTGTTTTTTTAAGAGCTCTATGCTGGGTACCAGGAATGTGGAACAAACACTAAATATATTTCATATGTATAAATTACATGTAAAAATTAATAAAGAATAGTCAGAATTATACTAAAATTTATAGCATTAAATACCTTCTGTTGTTGACAGTGATGAAAAATGAACTAAGCATTCACGTCACTAATCTATAGTAAGATTTTAAATGTAGTTTGATAAGAGCCCATAGACAACATAAAATTAACTTTTCCTGATGCAGAATTGATTAGACTAATTAATAATGAAGATCTGTACTAATAAAATAGCTCAAAGAAATAGGTAATTTTTGTAAAATATTAAAATAGATTAAGGCAATTTCAGATCAGTGTACAGAGAATGTGTGCAACTGACGTTAACATTCTTCTGAGGTTAATGTGATAAGTGTGCAACTGCCCATTCAACTATTAGAATGTATTGTTGTAATGAAAGGAGCAAAATAAAACATTAAAATCTAATCAAAGCATAGTTAATGGCTTAACTTGTGGTAGAGGTGATCATATAGTATTTCAGGTGGGAAATGGATGAAAATTTAGTTTCTTGTTTTATCACTTAATGAAAGAAATAGCAATAGAAGTACAGAAATTTTTAAAGAAACCTACATTTAGTAAAGTACCCCAAAAATCTAAATTGGGAAAGATTTCATAAATATGAAATGGAATAGACTCTTCAAAATGTAACAGTAACAAAAACATCTTTGATATCAATTTTTAATCAAAGTTCTAATTATGGTAAGAAATATGGTGAAGGAGACATGGTCAAAGAGATAAAAATGCTGGATTTAATCTGCTTGGTTTTTTTTTGTTGTTGGATTTCTGTTTATAAAGGCTATTTTACTTTTTCAACATTCTGTGTTTAGTTTGGAATGAATTAGATTACATTGTGTAAATACTTTAGGCAGTTAATTTAAGAAGAAAAAGACCTTGCCTAAAATTTGAATAGGGACACATTATGTGTGGTCTGTGGTGGAGAATAAGCTAAGCTCATGCACAGGGAGACATACATATTCCTAATAAGAAAGCAAGAGGGAGAAGGAAAAAGAATCCTCTGGCAAGAGATTTAGGGGTTACCAGTGAACTAACTCATGTCCCTAACCCACTAGTCCCTACTGCCCAATACCACCAATCAGAACCAAACCATTAGAGCCCCTAGTCTTGTATTCAAACTATCAATGGAAGTATGACAAAGATCAGGAAGTGTTTTTCCTCCTTTTGTTTCTCTAAAGAATTCATATGATATTAGCATTCTTCATTGAATATTTGGCAGAATTCCCAAGTAAAACTATTTGATAATGGAGTTTTGTTGGTGGGAAAGCCTTATAGAAACTTTCTTCATAAAGACAAAGAATATTCACACCTTCAGTTTTAGTTTGTGGCATATTTGGTAAATTTTATTTTTCAGAGATTTTACGTAGTTCTACAAATTAGCTCATAATTTTTTATTTTCTTTTAATGAGATTCTTTTGTGCACAGTCACTTAATACTTCTGACACAAGTATATATGATATTGTCCACAGTAGGAAATTCTGTAACCTTCGAGGTACAAGCTGTAAGCACAAGTGTATGGAGGTAGTTGGTTTTCAGAGCTTCTGTGTACTCTCTAGATGTCTGTACACTCCCAAGAACTCAGTGTCTTTACCAACCCTGAAGTTCATCCATTTGTTCAGGAGTGGTAGAGCTGACCTTCCAGACCTCACCTTCCTGAAGGTTGATGGTACAGTTCCTACTCTGTAATCAGTTGGTCTTTTGCTGACCAGTATCTACCTCACTACAAGTCCCTTTATTGGAATTAATTTAGCATTGGATTTAATATTATTAACAAAAACTCAGAGCTTCAAATTTTCACTCATTTTTATTCATGACTGACTCATGGAATATGGCTATATAGGCTGACTTCAGACTTGTGTCTCCAAAGTCTCATTGTCCTATTTAGTAGAATTACAGGCATGAGTATACTCAGCAAAGTATTAGTCTCCATTCAGCTTTTTTTTGGCAGTACTAGAGTTTGCACTTGAGGATTAGCACTTGTGTTTAAATAATCGATTTTTTACACAAATTTATTTTATCTTCAAACAGTTGTACAAAAGTTTCAATTCAGTGTGTCAGTTTTTTCCTAGCTGATTTTACTGACCAGGAGTTCCTAAATTCTGTGACATAGAATTCGTCACTTTTTTATAATTACTGCCCCTACTCAAGATCAAAAACTTCCCAATAATAGTTTATCGTCAGTTTTTTTAATATCACATGTATGCTTAAGAGGAATATAGTTTTAATTAGTTGTAGCATTTTGTATGTATTTATTAAACTATACTTTCTATTTGACTAAATGTATATTATTGGTATTCTTACCAGACACAGCTCTGGTTGGTTACAGCACAATAGGCCAGTTAGGTTTAAGAGACAAGTTGTTGTAGCCAAAGACCTGGCTGACCAAGAAGATGTAGAACTCAAGTCCTAAGTACATTTGACTGATTTAGGGATGGTTTTTGTAGGAGATGGGTGATGACAGACTAATTGGGTACCTTTTCAGAGTATATAGGTTTATGGCCAAATGCTGCCTATCTAATCTTACTCTCCTAGGCATGAGATGCTTTTCTGTTGTGCAGGTGTATAGAACGGATACCATTATTTCTTCAGGTTATTCTTGTCACTAAATTGTTTGATTTCTGACATATTATATAGTATACAGGCTAGAGGGGCTTTCTCAAGGCTGTACTGCAGATAACCAAACTTACATTTCACCCGATTGTTGTGTGAGATGAATAGTGCAGATTCCTGCTTCAGTATTCAGCTTCACTACTACCATATTTTTTTGTCAGTGAAAATCGGTGAAATTCATCTCTCACAATATTGGTATACTTTTCAGTCTGGGAATTTCTACTTTATATATTTCTGAGGCAGTTTTATTATGAACAGATAAGCAATTGTTGAATTAAACTTATTTCCATTCTGCACTGCTGTCTCCATCCTTACAATGTATTTTCATGTTCTATCTCTTTTCTTCCTTTCCCTCTTTCAGCCTCCCCCACCTTTTTTTTTTCCTCCCTCATGGTTTTTCTTATGTGGAGAGTCTTGCTAGTAACCTACATTGAACTTAAACTTTTAAGATCCTCCTGCCTCAGTTTCCCAAGTGATGGCATTACAGGTGTGTGTCACCATGCCTGACTTTGTTTTCTCTCGCTCCATCTCCTTTTACTTAGTGGCACTGGGGTTTTAACTCAGAGCCTTAACACTTCCTAGGCAGTCATTTTACCTGTGAAGCCAACCCTTCAGTCCTTTTAGATCTAGATACTTTTCACTTTTTTGCCTGGCCAGTCTGCATAGTGACCCTCCTATTTATATTTCATGCCATAGCTGGGATGACAGCCCTGTTCTGTTCAGTTGAGCTCTCACAAACATTTTGCATTGGCTGGCCTGGAACTCCAGTCCTCCCAATCTCAGATTCCCTAGAAGTTAACATTATAGGTATGATCCACCATGCCTACACCCGACTTTTGTTTCTTCTTTTAGCTTAGTTTTCCTGCTGTTTTTTACATTAATTTCTAATTTTTTAGTATTTATCATTTTTTAAGTTTTTTGTCACACAGCATATGGGTATATTTTTAGAAATCCATTTTTTTACTGTTTTGCGAGTATCCCATTTACATTTGTTATTAATACTGGTATTTTAACTGCTTTTTACACCTCCATTGTTTTTCTCATGTTTTAACTTTTTTTTTAATCTCTCCCAACTATCCTGCTACTGGTTTTAAATGTATGTTTCTCTATTATTTTCCTTCTGGTATTTATAATTGAAATTTATCCTCACTTACTATCCAAACAGAATATATGTTATTTAGTCTGTGAAAATTTTGTTTTCTATTTCACCTTTAAAAAATGGGAAAATATGACCTGAGATCTGTAGCTTTTCACCATTTGGGATCAGTTTATTTTGATAATTTTTGAAAATATATTGTAGTCATTTGGGTATTCTATTAAAAGAAGAGTTATTTGCTGTGAGTTATAAGTATCTTTTCTTATTATCACCATAGACAAAGAAACAGCCTTGGTATAACAGCACATTAGCCTCAAGACGAAAACGGCTCACTGCTCATTTTGAAGACTTAGAGCAGTGTTATTTTTCTACAAGGATGTCTCGTATATCAGGTACATGTTCAGGATTTCTCTTAAAATTTTTATCTCACAGTAATACTTCAGATACATTTCTAGGTTTCAATACTAGATTTACTGCAAATTCCTAGTTGTAAAGCAAAGTATATTTTTTTGCCATTCTATTAGAATACTTATTAGAGATCTACAAGAATATTGTTTTTAAGTAGCAGATTTTGGTTCACTGAGAATTCTTTATCTTGGTATAGTGAACTATATAAAGTTTAAACTATAAAGTTTAGTTAGACAAATTAAGTTCTATTCAGTTGCCTCAACTTTTCAACATTAATAAGTGTTTAGCACTTTCCCTGTGCTGAAAATAAAGTAAAAATGAGCCGAGAACTATAGCACTTAAGGAAGTAGAGGACTCAGAGTTTCAGACCTGAGGTACATGGTAGAATTCTATCTTTAAAAAAAGAATAAAATAAATAAATAAAACAATCAATTCTTACTCTCGAGTGTCATAACATAGGCAAAATACAGCAGGTATGTATTGCATAAGTATGCAGTACTTATGGATATTAGAAGAATACTGGGCCAAGCTGAAAAGTAGATGTAATGAACGACCTGGGGACTTGAGAGGAATTGCTTTTGTGCCAGGTTAGAATGAATAAACTGAAATTGCTAATTAGAAACTGTCAAAATAGCAAAGTAGATGAAATAAGAAATTAGACAACATGCAATTGATAGTATAGGATATTCTTTTTCTGATATAAAAGAAATTCAATATTTTACTAGTAAAGAAACATTAGTTTTGTGTAGACTTTGTGTATGGCAAGATGGTAGATGGTCTGAGGGGACTTGAAAATTAAACATAGACCTGCCTTCTCTTGGTCCCAAATCTGCAGATGTGAAGCCTGACGAAAATCTCTGTTGTCTGGTTCAGTTTTCAGTGTTTAGTTTAAATGGCACTTGACAATAGGCTTGCCTGATAAAATGTAGCATATTTGTGATTACTTGATTACTTGCTTGTTTCTAAGAACAGTGGAAGTGTTCTGTTTATCTTGCCAGTTCTCAGTGTCTTAAGAATACTAGTATTCTGATTCTCTGCTCTATCACTCAGTCTTATGACTGAGGACAAATCATTCTACAAGCTTTGGTATTCCCACCTTGTTCTAGTTTCGTTCCAATCAGTTATGTAAAGTGTGAATCAGTGACTTTTTTCTAAACGATAATGCCCAAATCCAACTTTCTTCCATTTTGTAACGTTGCCATTTTCAGTATGTGGCCTACTTCCAAAGGTTTCAGTCTGTTGTGGCAGGGAGAACTTGGGCAGGGCAGCCAACATCTTGGTGACCAGGAAGCAAAGAGAATGCCTGAGGTGAAAATGTTTTTAGTGCTTTAGAAAAATAATAAAGCTCCTGTTTTCCTTTATTTAGCTGTTCTAGCATCTTTATCATCAGACCTAAACCTAGGATTTTTTTGTGTTTTTTTTTGAATGAGGAATTTAATTGTTTTGCTGACGTGCATGCAACAAAACAAAATTGACACCATACAAGATAACTTGTAAACAGTGTATATATAATGCAGTGCTTGGCACACCTTGGATGTTGTAACAGTTCAAATCAGTTATTGAACATCTTTATTTAAATAAGTTCACCAAGGAGAAGTTTCTGGTACTTGATTGATTGGAAAAAATCTGGGCCTTGGTTTTACTCTTTGTCTGAACATGCTTATTTAATAATATTAGTTAAACACATGTAGCAGTTGTTTACATGCTTTGGGCAACTTGCCATAGAACTGGTGTAGGATAATTCACTTAGCATTGTTTCTAGGAGAAAAACATGGAGCCCAGAATTTGTTTGCTAAGCATGATTTAGATTAATAGTAAACAGTTTTTATGCATGGCAAGTTGGTATTTACTGGCTGAAAATTGAGTCCCTTAGTGACTATGATAGTCTAAATATAAACTACTAAAAAGTTGTTAAGCTTTTGGTAGTCCAAGTCTTGCACTCTGGCAGTCTTTTTGACTCTGTGGGGGGAGGGTGGGTGGGGGGTGTGAGAGAGGGGAAGAGAGAGAGAGAGAGAGAATATCCACATGCACTTGCAAAGCCAATACTGAGGCTTAAAATAGGATCTGGTACTGTTGTTATCTTTGTTGCTCAAGGCTGGTACTCTACTATTTGAGCCACAGTTCCACTAATGGCTTTTTGATAGTTAATTAGATATGAGTCTCACAAGACTTTCCTGCCCTGTCTGGCTTTGAAATGCCATCTTCAGATCTCAGCCTCATAAGTAGCTAGGATTACAGGAGTGAGGCAGTGGTGCCAGCAAATTTTGAACTTTAGTTGCTGTAATGATGTTGAAATAAAACAGACCAAATATTGTTTTAAATATATGGGAATGAGTTTAGGATATATTATTAATGTTAACATTATTGATCATCTTTGTCACTAGTACCATAGGCATGCTGTGGAGTACTAAAGGTGTTCCATAGACGATATTTTGTTGTATAGGATGATTGAATTATAATTAAAGAGACACATTAGATAGCTGTTTCTTTGTGTAATTATAGTTGTTTTTTAGTTAATGCATATCTTTCCTAGGTTTTAGGAATTTTACATAACAATATTTCTGCATATCAAGCCTTTTTAATTCCTTTGACAGTAAAGACAGATTTTTTTTTTGTAAAGACAGATTCTTGTACATATCTGAGAATGTAAGACGGTGAATGCTCTTTGTATATTTCCAATAAGAATCCATCCATCTATTCCTACCCTCAGTTATTTCCATTTATGAAAATGAGAAATTTTAAAGAAATTACTGCCTTGGAATATTAATTATAATTGGAGGACATAGTAAATGATAACACATTAAAGAAAGAAAGAAACGTTGAAAATACTTATACAAATTAATCTAAATTAGGAGAGGTGATATGTCAGTGTACCATTTGTGGGATGTTCGTTATAAAAGCACTAAGCAAACCAAAATCCTGTTTTTATAACCAGATAAATGAAGACCAGTTGTTAGGCTTCTAAGTACTGAAATCATCCTTTTCCTGATTTTTTAATAATAGTTTCCGTTGAATGAACTTGAATTTAACTAGAGGTCTACTTATTCTACAAAAGAATTATTGAATACACGTTCTTGAATGCTTATGATTGCATACTTAGGAACTGATTTCAAAATATAAAAGAATAGAGTAGCATTAAAACAGCTTTTAAAGCAGTGCTTTGGTGGTTCATGCTTATAATCCTAGCTACTCAGAGGGCTGGGATCTGAGGATCCTAGCTTAAAACCAGCTCAGTCAGACAATTTGTGAGACTCTTATCTCCAGTTAATGTGCAAAAAGCTGAAAGGGGAGGAGTGACTCAAGTGGTAGATAGCGTCAGCATTGAGTCAAAAAGCCACATAAATGTGTAAGACCCTGAGTTCAAGCCCCACAAACCAACCAGATAAACAAAATAAACAATTTTAAATGGATTAAAATAACTTTCGCAGCATTAATTACATTAAAATCTTAGCTGTAATAGAATTGCATATTAGAAAAGCAATTTACAATTACATTCAATGACTCCATGATAGTATTTTTCAGCAAATTATGTTTTATTTATAAATTGTTGAGTTTGCTGAGAATAATTTTTATAGAGGAGGAGCTTTATCTCAGTATCATTGGGATGATTTTATATGTTAGATACAATATTTGTTTTGCTGCTTTTAGGATGAAAGCAGTACTAAATCTGTTCTCTTTAATGTAGGTTGTTAGATGAGTTTACTGACTTAGTGTTTTCGTTTTTAAATTTGTAAAACACATGAGAAACAGTTACTGTTAAGTGATACTTCTTTCATTCTAAATGTTAGATCTCTTCTGGTGTCAGTAATTTTTTTTTGGGGGGAAGGGGGGTGTCCGGTCGTTGGGCCTAAACTCTGGGCCTGGACACGTCCCTCAGCTCTTCAGCTCAAGGCTAGCACTCTACCACTTGAGCCACAGCGCCACTTATGGCTTTTTTTTTTCTGCTTATGTGATATTGAGGAATTGAACCCAGGGCCTCAAGCATGCAAGGCAAGCTTTCTACCACTGAGCCACCTTCCCAGCCCTGGTGTCCGTGAATTTTCTTAAAGATAGCCTAATCTTCCATATCAGTTCCTTAAGGAATTAAGGGCCATCATGAACGCTTACACTAAAATGTCTATATGTATGCACATGAGAGTAGAATAGTGAAGATGTTATGAATGGCAGTACTGAACAGATCTGTTTCAGATTGTCTCTTAAGAGGACAGAATACATGTCTTTTTCATTCTTTGGAAATAAACTTTTTTAGGTGTTTTTTTTTTGGGGGGGGGGATTCCAGTCGTGGGGCCTGAACTCTGGGCCTGGGTGCTGTCCCTCAGCTCTTCAGCTCAAGGCTAACACTCTACCACTTAAGCCACAGCGCCACTTCTAGTTTTTTTCTTTTTGCTTATGTGGTGCTGAGGAATCGAACACAGGGCCTCAGGCATGCAAGGCAAGCGCTCTACACCACTGAGCCACCTTCCCAGCCCTGGAAATAAAATTTTTAAGTCCAGATTTCAAGCAGTTTTGAAATACTTGAATAGTTTTTAGTTTGCTTTCACTGTGAGCCTACCTTTCCATAGGAGAATAGGTAAGTTGTCAGTTACAAGCTGATTTTATTATTTAAATCTTGTATGATTTAGTTTTATTGTACTTAGGTAGACTTTACTCACATATTTGTATGATATTCCATTGAATGGAATTTCTACTTTTCATAAGACGTTTGAATGAAACTTTTTTGTACTTTGGGATAAATGTAAGCTACTCATACTTTTTGTTCTGGAGACTCAGTCATTTATACATTGCTGTTTTCTGTTTTTTTCCAGTAAAAGAATTAAGATACCATGATGGCATAACCAAAATTTTTAACTTTTTTAAAATCTATAATGTGTTATAAACTTTATTTTGGTCATAAGTAACTGTGAGGAAAGTCCTTGTTAAAACAATCTTTATAGTAATAATGTGTCCAAAATACCTTTTCAAGCCTCCCTGTTGATGTGAGATTTTTGTTTTAATAAATGATAAATGATGTAGCTTGACCTAACTCCTTTACTTAACCATTTTGAGGGAAATTTTATTTTCCTCAAGAAATTTTTGCTGGAAAAAAAAATAAAGAGGCTTCACAGTTTTGTTGTTATTGATGTGGATAGAATAGTATCTTTCAAAGAATCACTGACGTGTTTTTCATTTTGAATTGAAAGATACCTAACTTGAACATATTGTATAAAATATTTTAAAATAACTTTTAAAATTTAGAACATATTTAGCCTGTGGAAAATGTTCTTTCTTTACATTGTAGTACTGTTCATTTTGTTTTTTAATACAGATGACAGTCGAACTGCAAGCCAGTTGGATGAATTTCAGGAATGCCTGTCTAAGTTTACAAGATATAATTCAGTACGACCTTTGGCCACATTGTCATATGCTAGTGATCTCTATAATGGTTCCAGCATAGTTTCTAGGTAAGGGTAAAGTACTCTTCAATTTTTATTTTGTGACATTTTCTAGAAATTATTTGAATTTGAGAAGCAATTATAGCATACTGTTAAAAATGTAGGTTCTATAGTTAGATTGCCTGAAATTATTAGTATTGTTACCTTAGGCAAGTTTATGATTATCTCAAAGAATGATGAATTGTACCTACCTGTATAGGGTTATAATTTGTTTTCTTGTACTATTTGTGTCTAGTTCTGATGATAGAATATCTCCTAAGTGTCCCTTCTCTTCTGTTTTCTGAACATTCTTATAGGATTGGTATAGTTCTTCCTTAAATACTATATATGATATTTTAGTGAAACTTTCCAGGAGAGCTTTTTTTTTTTTTTGAGTCAGGCGTGGGACTTGAACTCTGAACCTGAGCGCTGTCCCTCAGCTTTTCAGCAATTATCTTTAAGGGGGAGGTGATACCAATCAAGAGATATTGTACTTACAAACTGATTTGTTGAATAGTAATCTTTTAAGAAATTTGCTAACGTTACCAATTTTTTTGGCATAGATGTTCATAATAGTCTTATATCTTTAGATTCTATGATGATGTTTCTTCCCTCTCTGGTTACTGATACTTTTACTCTTTTCTTGAATAGTCTTGATTAGTAGCTTATCAGTTTTATTGAGCAGTTTCTTGCTTTTGATAGTCTTGTATTTCTCTATGTTTCACTGACTTTTGCCATTTGTTACTTTGATTCTTCAGCATTCTTTAGTTTTAATTTTCCTCCTTCCTTCTTTCTAGTCTTCTGTCCATCCTGAATTTTGAAGTCTGGGCTTCATGCTTGCTAAGTAAATGCCTTATGTTATAAATATGCTTTCCAAGAACCATCGTAGTCACAATGATAAATACAAAAAAAAAAATAAAGAATTGTCTGAGCAAGGCAAAATTTACTTCTGCAGAAGAGTATACCATCAACCAAAAGTCTGGCAAGCAAGCACACAAAGCCGGCAGGCTCTCCTCCCATTTATCCGTAAAGCAGCAGGCAGGCCCTGCCTCTGCTCACATTGACTGAATTCAGGGTTACAAGCTGCTCATGATTGGTTAGTTTGAATAATGTAAAATGTATTTGCATAAGGTGATACTGAAATAACAGTAACAGTACACATATAATCTCAAATTTTACCTACCCCCTCTGCTAGTTCTTGAACAATCTGAGATGTATCTTTAGTCCATCTTGAAAAGAAACTAGTTTAAGACAAAAACCTTGTATTTCAAAAGATCCTTCTTTATACCAAAATGGTCCTCTTTTCCTTAACAAGAGCCAAGCCACCTGGCCAAAGCAGGAGCTTTTGTATGTGTGCTGGTTCTGGGGATTGAGCTCAGGGTCTAGCTGTCCCTGAGCATTTGTGCTCAAGGCTTAGCATACTACCAGTTTGAAGCACAGTTAAACTTCTGTTCTTTTGGAGTAAATTGTTGTTTTACACACTTTCCTTTGGCTGACTTTGAACCTTGATCCTCAGATCTCAGCCTCCTGAGTAACTAGGATTACAGACATGAGCCACTGGTGCCTGGTACAGAATACTTTTTAATTTCCATTTTTGTTGTTTTTCACCAGTGAATTGCTAAAACGTACTGCTAGTTATTTGGATTCTCCAGTGAGCTTTCTGTTAACGATTTACTATTTTTGTTTTCATCTTTTAAAATTTTTAATGAAAGGATAGAGCAAGAAATTGGAAGGTGAATTATTAAAAAACATAAAGTACTTATAGTAGCGTTTCATAATAAACCTGATTTGTACAATTAATAAGTGCCATTAAAAGTTAAATCTTTAATGAAAATTTCTTACATACTTAAAATATTGGAAATAAAATAATTATCCCTCAGCTGACCATTACTCAGATAAGCATTTATTAACATTGTTATACTTCATTTATTCTTTTCATTATTACTATTTACTTAAGAATTTTAAGACATATTTGCCATACTTTATCACTTTACCTGTGGGAACTTAAGTATCTCCATTTCTTTTCTTCTGATTAATTTTTTATTATCTTTAAATAGTTGTATCAAGGGGTTTCCTTTCAACAAGTCAGTTTATGAGTACAGTCTATGTGTCACCCGGAATCACTATTACTTAAAATAATGGATACTATAAAATCATAGGACCATATTCCAAATAAAAAGCATTAATCCCTTGGTTACATTAAATTCCTAGTCCATGTTCTGTATTCCTCATGAATAAATGTTAGGAAGGTATTTTTAAAATGACCGATCAGCAATTTGACAAGTCCCATTTTACTTTAATTTGTTTGGTGCTAGGCTAGCCACTGAACTATACCTTTAGTTCTGGCAATTTTTTTTTTTTGGGGGGGGACTCCGGTCGTGGGGCCTGAACTCTGGGCCTGGGCGCTGTCCCTCAGCTCTTCAGCTCAAGGCTAGCACTCTACCACTTGAGCCACAGCTCCACTTCTGTCTTTTTTTTTTCTGCTTATGTGGTGCTGAGGAATCGAACCCAGGGCCTCATGCATTCAAGACAAGTGCTCTACCACTGAGCCATCTTCCCAGCCCAGTTCTGGCAATTTTTAACTTACACAGTACTCGTAAAGCTTAGGGTATTTTATTTCCCTTTGGCAAGAAGTAAACTTTTACCTATATAAGTAGAATTTCTAAGCCATCAGCTGAAGAGTCTGTTGTACTTAATGTATTCTAACTGGTTAACTCAGTATTCAGTAAGATTCAATAGGATACTTAGTATGCAGCAATGTGAATTTTTCTTCTACGTTAAGATAATGAAGTTCATCAGCAAAGAAATGCAGTAAGGAGATTCTGTGGCATAAACTTGCCATAGGAAAGATAGCTGTTCAGGCTTTGCCTGCCATCTTAGGTCATTTTTAGCCATATCTTTTGTAAATTTTTCAAAAGTACTAGATGAGTAAAATTTGAAAATGCATTGGATTGTGGGGTTCAAACTGACAAAAATTAATTGACTACTTAGTGTTAGCTAAGCTTAATGTTAAGCATGGACAGTCTAGATGTGATACTTATATTCAGGAAATCTAACAATCTTATTTTCATGCCTCTATGAAATAGTTTATGAAACAACTTAGCTTGGAGCATCAAATTGGCATTATACTTAAATTCTTAACTACTGTGGAGAATATTTAGCATATGTTAATAATGGCTTCAGAAATTAGTTTGAATGCACAAGAGGAAAAATTACTAGCAAATGTTGTATATAATTTTTACCTGCTTTGGATAAAATTGTCTGTAATTATATGACTATACTCAAATTACACCATGTTAGAGCTCTCTAAGCAATATTGATTCATGTCCCTAACCATTGTGAATTTTTTCTGTGTTGTGTTTTATCAATTAAAATAAAAACTTCCTATTAAGCATCATATTACTGGACTAACAACTCTATTTAGAAAATATAGGATTAGTCATCATTCTCTTTTAATAAATAGTTTAGTCTTTTTGTAACATTTGTGAAAGCATTTAGGCTTGACAAGAAATTTATATCAACAAACTACAGATTCTCAAGCTGAAGTCTACTGTATTTAGGAGACCTTAATGAGACTTTAGACTGAGACTATCACATACACTCGCGAAGGTTAAATATTCAATTGAAATTTTACAATTAGACATATCCTTAATTGTTTCACCTTGCATGCTAGCCTCCATTCTTTTTTTCTCAATTACATTCAATTAACATTTCTAAATTAAAATTTTACATTTTTTTTGTTTGGCAGCACAGATGAAAATTTGTAGATAGCACAAATGATGACTAGCCAAAGAAATGAATAGACACTAAAACTTTCTAAATTCATTTTAAAGTTTTTAATTCCTGACAAAATAGGAAATATAATGGATTTATTTCGGGACAAGGATTTTTAAAAAGACTCTTTTTGAGTTGGTGTACTACATACTTTATAGCATCATAATTTAAATATTATTGTAGCATTGCATAGTCTACATCTTGTATTGCTCGCTTACTACAAAGAAAATCTGAGAAAAAGACTGAACAGAAACTCAGGTTTCCACTTTTTCTTTCTTTGCTTGTTCAGGAATTCATAACATATCCATTATTCCACAAGGTGGCAGCCTTTGTTTACAATATCAAGAGTTAGGTACCGAGGTATGCAAGATTGATGGTTTGTCTTCAGGTTCATTCACTTGCTAACCAGATTATCCTCAGATAATAAGAACATGTAATTGAAAGGAAAGAAGACTCTGCACTCTTATTTGTATTTTGTCTTCCATTAGGTTTTCAGTAGCCCAACTGGGAGAACTGGTTTGAATTTAAACTTACTGAATCCTTACTAGTGATGATTGCTTTTTTCATGTGAACTTACATTCCTAATGTGAACTTTACATTCAAGTTTTCTATGGCAAAATTGTTAAACATTCTCCTCTAGGAGATCCTTCTAACATTTTTGCTTCTGTTTGCTCAAATTGTTGAAATTGAATTATTTCCAGCATATAGTAAATTGATGAGGAAAAAATGGCTGTTTCGTATCATTTGTTAATGCTAATCTAGTCACTACATTGGTTAGTATATGATCTTTAGCCATTATTTTAAATATTTATGTGAATTTACTAATATATTTAATTCTTACATGAACCTTATAGATTTCTATAATCCTGTTTTTCAGGTGAGCAAACAGAAGTAGAAAAAAAAGTGTCTGTCAGCCTAGAGATAGTAACACAAACTGAGACTTGACTTCCTACGCATTCTAAAACATCATGCATTTTACTTGATCTGCTTTAATCTTGGGGAGAGTTTTAGGCAACATTTTACTTTTAGATAGCCATAAATAATAAGGAAATCTTCTGATATTCACCATCTAAGTAGGTCTTAATAAATCTCACTGTTTTTGTAGTTTGAAACTATGCAAATTTTTTTATGTACCTGCTAACAATATGTTGCTAAACATCAATTTGTAGTCATAGCTAATGGTAATCCAGATTTAGGGAACATTTTAATGTGCTTTTTATTTTAGAATGCTTGTGAGATGTAAATTTTTATTTAACCAAATCTTCAAGAATATATTAACTTCATTTGTAGAGAACAGGTGTAATTTTAAGGACTACTTGTTGGCTTTCACTCATTGTCAGAACACATTTCTATTGTCTTAGTATTTGGGAATGAAATCTATGAATAGGAATGCAGAGCAAAGGATTTCCTTTCAGAAATTTTCCTAGGACCCTTCTTTACACCTGCCCTTCTCTAACTGCAAAATGGGGTCCAAATTTAGGAAATTATTCTTGCTGGGCAGGTGCTGTACTACTTGATTCATACCCTTAGCCTCATACTGCTTTCCTACCCTTTCCTTTTGCTTTAGTTGTTCAGATTGGTTCTCACACATTGGCCCTCCTCCTATTGGAAAGATCACATAGAAAATATTATATATTATTAAAGTGTTACTCCTCCTGAGTGTGGAATCACAAACATTGGTCACCACTGCTTGGCTTACTGATTTAGATGGAGTCTTGATTTCACTGGAATGATCTCTACCTGCTTAAGTGTTGGGGATTACAGGCATGAGCCACTGTCCCCAGTTGCATGAGACTGTTAGCCACTGTTCTTTATATTTTCTTTTAATAAATTAAGTTTTAGTGTATAGAGATATTAATCTACCTTGCTTGTTAGTACTTATTTTATAATTGCCAAGAGATATGACAGACTGTGAGAACACAAAATTCACTGTTTGGGCATATTGACAGTTCTGTATTGCTGTGCCTCATTGTACTGGAAGTATACATTAATCAACTGTTCTACATGGGCTATTACCTTGCTGCTTAATCACTTGACTTCTGGCTTTCTTGACAAGAAATATAGGCAGTTTCCTGTAGCTAAATTATGTTTTTCAAGTGTTAAAATCAATCACTTTCTTTAAACAGTTGAAATATTTCAAAATGTGCAAGTGAAATTTTAATCCATGCTTGAAGTAAATCTTTAGTAATGTTTTTGAAAGAAAAATTGTGTTTGGAAATTTAGAATGAATCTAGTGATACTGAAATTGAATTTATTATTTCAGTAATAAGCTAGTGGTTTTAATAATTATTGGTAGTAGTATATCACCAAGTTAACTTTGGTATTGCAATAGCAAGATTTTTAACAGTTCTTTAAAATTAATTGTATAAGTAGATACATTTGTTATTTTTTTATTTTATGTTTTTTTGGTTGGTCATGGGACTTGAAATCTGGGCCTGGGCTCTGTCCCTCAGGTCTTCAGCTCAAGGCAAGCACTCTACCACTTGAGCCACAACACCGCTTTGGTTTTCTGGTGGTTTATTGGAGATAGTCTCACGGGCTTTCCTGCCCAGGCTGGCTTTGAACCTTGATCCTCAGATCTCAACCTCCTGAGTAGCTAAGATTACAAGCGTGACCCACCAGCCCCCAGTTCATTTGTTATTTTTTAACCTTTGTTTTCTTCCAATCTAGTCACTGTTAAACTTCTGTACATTTTTTGCATTATCAGTCTTAAATACCCTGTGTAATAGGAGATTTTTAGTTTTTGTTTTAGAAAGTGCTCTGTATCTAAAAACTTCAGTGTTCATTGAGTTATTCTATGATCTGTTTCTAGAGTCTAGTTATGTTTATATTTGGGAGTAACTAGGATTAAATTCGTCAGAAATAGGGATCATATGGCTCAGTATTTGAAAGCACTGAAAGCCTGAGTTATAGTGATACAAGTACTTGTATTTTTTTACATAAAAGCAGCATTTACCTTCCTTTCTCTTTTAATAAAAACTCACTACATATAATAATCTTTCTATTTTTTGTTAGCATTTATATTAAAATCTTTTCCTTTAATTTTAAAAGATTTCAAAACCTCAAGTTACTAATATTGGTATGTTTGCCTAGTTCTCTCCCCCATGCAATGCCATCCATAGTCATTTTAGGAGGAGAAATACATTCAACTACGTGTGTGTGTGTGTGTGTGTGTGTGTGTGTGTGTGTGTGTGTGTGTGTGTGTGTGTGTAGAAAAGGCACATGCATACATAATTTTAGCTTAGGTGTAAGTGATTTGATTTGTGATAATAGCAAATTAATTATTAGCATCAAGTCTGAAACCATTCTCCTTGATTTTTTAAATACCAGTTTGAACACTTACCAAGGTGGCTAATGTTGAGATTACATCACTTCAATACTCTTAGTGAGTTAATACACAAGTAGTTGGTGAATGACTAATGAATACTAGCTGATTTTACTATACTTTCAGTTGTAGATTAGAGAGAATTTTATGTCCTCTAGCATTGTAGCTAGACTCTGGAAAAGGGTGTGTAAATCAAATGGAAAGGCAATGTATATGTGGCTATTCATTTCAACTTACTTGCTTGGATCAGTCAAATTCTATTTGGTTATGTAATACTAACTTTGCTGAGGCTTCAAGTTAAGTTCTGCAAAGAAAATTAGGCTTTGTAACTTGCTTGGAGATAGGTTACTTTTGAGCATGGAATAAAATTTTATAAAGGTCACCAAGAAATGAATGAATTCTTTGTATCTCAAAAAGAAGGAATTTTTTCCCCCTCTTATACACATACAACTTGTGGTTTGAAGAATGTGTATTCAGAGAGACCATATTTATTGGAGGAATAAGAAAATAATTTGGAGATAAGTAATAAATATAGCTAATAGTAAATAAATAAAATATTTCAATTTTAATGTGAATTCTGTTCACATGTCATCATCTAGTTCTTCAAGTAATTCTGTTTGTTTACTAATTTATTAAAATACCAGTACATTCTGTGAAATCTTTCTGCAAAATTCTATTAACTAGAATTCATGAAAAGAAACAAATTGATAATTTCCTTTTGACTTATTTGTCATATCCAGCCATTATATCTTTTTCACTAAATTGTAATGTGGTTTCTGGGACTGAAGTAAAATATATATTGGTATCTAGGAACAAAAGTATGTCTTGACACAAATGTAGATGTATTTTGACATGTCTTGATGACGTACTCAGAACATAGGGCTTCACATAATTTGAAGATAGTTTTTAGATTAAATCATGTTAGAAATAGAAAATAACAATCCTGAATGTTGTATTGTAAATTTCATAAAGGCTTTGTGAAGGCTGTTACATATGAACTGTGTACATTTTCTTTAGTATTGAATTTGATCGGGATTGTGACTATTTTGCAATTGCTGGGGTCACAAAAAAGATTAAAGTCTATGAGTACGGCACAGTCATCCAGGATGCAGTGGATATTCATTACCCTGAGAATGAAATGACCTGCAATTCCAAAATCAGGTATGTGTGTATAAAAGTTGGTATGCATACTAGGGGAGATTTTTTTGTCATACTTTTTTTTGGTCACTTGTGGGGCTTGAACTCAAGGCCTGGGTGCTGTCCTTCACCTCTTCAGCTCAAGGCTAGCACTAGCGCTCTATCACTTAAGCCACTTCTGGCATTTTCTGCTTATGTGGTGCTGAGGAATTGAACCCAGGGCCTCATGCACGCAAGGCAAGCACTCTACCACTGAGCCACCTTCCCAGCCCCACAAGGGGAGCTTATTTTACTTTCACATGAGACTCCTTAATCATTCATGGTGAATGATATAAATTATACTATGTACATGGGAAATAACTTATTGACAGAATATTTTCCCTATGCATTTAGAAAATATCTTTCTTACAGTTGCTTTTCCCCTGTGGGGTTTAGAATGTATTGTTTTTATAGTTGACAAATGAAAGTCTTTCTTCCACTTAATTAAAGGTCTTTATTGGAAATGGCCATTAGTTCAATGTTCAGCAAAAATTATTATAGCTTGTTGGTTACTGTCTGTAAGTCATAGTATCTCCCATAGCATGCTCAAGTCTCTAAGAATATAATTGTTTACATTGTTTTCATTTTTACAGAAAATTCTGCCTTTCATTCATAACTAGTACTTAAGTTTCACTTACTTGGAATTGTGATTATAAAGAATGCTTATCTAACCCAAATACTGTTAAAAAGTACAGAAATTAGGTACTATAGTATATCCTCTCAAAATATCAGTAAACCCTTTCATTTTTTTACCCACCTCTTTCCTCTTACCTTTTTATTCTCCCTAAAACAAAAAAGCTTGAAGCTATTCATGAACACTGATCTAAGGAAGCGATTTACCAATAACTTTATTTACAACATTGCACATCTTCAAATTAGTCTCTGTATCTTTCATATCTTAGTAAATGACATAAATACAGGTTGAGCATCCTTTATCTTGAATATTTGAGACCAAAAGTGTTTTTAATTTGATTACTTTTATGTATACACTGATACTTCTAAGGGATGAGACCCAAATCTAAGCACATCTAATTCATTTATGTTTTACATATACCTTTTATAAGTAGTTTGAAGGTAGTTTTCTACAATATGTTTCCATAATTTGAGCTTTAAACAAAGTTTAATTTTATTGAACTGTCACCTGTCTTGTCATGTGATACCAATGCTCCGAAAGTTACACATTTTGAAACATTTCATATTTTTGAAACAAGTATTCTCAGTCTGTGGTATATGTTTATATAAATGTATTTTTATAACGTTGATAATATAGTAAATGTTATAGTCTCTCCATAATTTGTTTTGGCTTCTCCTTTTTCCTAAATGATTCATAAAAGTGAGTCTGCCCATTTATCAGTAGGGCTCATTATTGAGATTCTACTATTATACCTAAGTAGAGAGAATAAACAAGTCTTAAATGTTTTGTAGTGTTTTAAATGCTTTAAGAGAGCTGTAGAGCTCTTTTATAGAGACCATAATGGTTATACCTCTTTTATAAACTATGCTTTTAAAATATCCCCATAATACACTCTTCAGAATAGCCAGTTCATAACAAAGTAAGTCATACTGCGATGGAAATGTAGAGGGTCTAAATGTGCTAACTACTATCATGATACATAAAATTATACAATACTTTATATATGATAAGTAAATTGCTGCAATTGTTCAACCCTGAAAGCTATGGGCTTGGGAGTGAAACTGTTAATACCAAGCACACCTAAACAGAGTTAGCCAGTTTGTTTATACCAGTGTAAGAAGTACACTAACTTAGTCAGAGCCATAATTCTTAAGTGGCACACTTGGAATTTGAGCATAGTTCTATTTTCCATGTTTTAACTCTCGAATAATTTTTTTTCAGAAAGTCTAGTAAGTATATTTAAAAATACAGATGACCTTTCCCAATTACAGAAATTTACAAGCTTTTCACAGATTTGTCATATAGGAAATTTGTAGTTTTAATTGCATCCTGTTGTGAGTGAAGCTATATACGTACATAAATATTTTTTAAAGATTTTTTTATTTTAGACTTATTTTGTTCTTCTGGACTTGAAAAGATCTCTCAGTATTCATGAAATTGTCTCTTTTCTGTAAGTTGCAAGTCTCCTTTGTCCCTTTTAAAAACATTCTTTATACAGTCACTTTTATTTTATGTAAGTTTTCACTTTCTTCCAGCTGTATCAGTTGGAGCAGTTATCATAAAAACCTGTTAGCCAGCAGTGATTATGAAGGTACTGTTATCCTATGGGATGGATTCACAGGACAGAGATCAAAAGTGTATCAGGTAAATAAAGAGGCTAGTTAGGTAAGAATTGCATCTTTACTATTTTCATAACTAATGTCCTTTGATTAATAATTACAGATTGGAAATTACTGAAAAGGTTTTTTTCTCTTTTTTTGTTATTTGTCATGAGGCTTGAACTCAGGGCCTGGGAGCTGAGCTTTTCTGCCTACTGCCTAGTACTCTCCCACTTTGAGTGATAGCCCCACTTCCAGTTTTCTGGTGGTTGTTGGAAATTAGAGTCTCACAGACTTCCCTACCTGTCTTGCTTTGAACCGTGAGCCACTAGCACCTGACTTTGTATAATACTTTTAGATCCCATAATAACTATGTAATACAAAATGGTCTTCTGAAGGACTCTTCAGACTTTTATGTTTTTAGAATGTATTAAATAATTTACAAAAGTAGTAATTTAAGATAATGTGAAAAGGTTTATGTTTGCTTTAAATCTTTGTTTTTTAAAATCCCAGTCCTGTGCTTTGAAATCAGGGCCTGGGCACTGTCTCTGAGCCTCTTTGTGCTCAAAGCTAGCACTCTGCTATTTAAGCCACAGTGCCACTTCTGGCTTTTTCTAAGTAGTTTCTTGGAAATAAAAGTCTCTTGGACTCTACTGCTTGGGCTAGCTTCACACTGAAATCCTCAGATCACAGCCTCCTGAGTAACTAGGATAACACTCAGGAGTCTCTAGTGCCCAGCAGCTTAGTTTGTTCTTTGTTTTTACAGACTTCCATTCCCCAAGGAATAAATTGGTATCTCTTTTTTTCTTTATTTGAAGATTTGTATTCTTTCTGAGTCTTTGTCTTTCTTGTGCACCCAGGAACATGAGAAGAGGTGTTGGAGTGTTGACTTTAATTTGATGGATCCTAAACTTTTGGCTTCAGGTTCTGATGATGCAAAAGGTTTGTTTGTTTTGTTTGTTCGTTACTCTTTCTGAACATTTTTCTTTTTTCCCAATTTTTTGGCAGAAATTAAAGCATTTATTGAAACTCATAACAGTCCTTTCTGATTACTAATTATTCCAAAAATAACCTAAACCCACACATCAACTTTTCTTTCTGAGTGAAGGAAAAACGAATATTTTGCATCTTTATATAATATTTTCTCAATTTGTGCCACATGGTAATATGTAGAGTTGGTGCCATCTAAAAAGCTATGTTCTCTACATATCATCAAGTGAATGTTTTGTCTCTTGAAGTAAATATTTAGAAATCTATTCTAATTCTATGAAAGTTTTTAGTATAGAGCCCCATAATATGCTTTGTAAATATTTCATGACAAAACTTCCATGTATCTTTTTGTCAGTTTAATTGACTTTTCTATTCTTTTATTTATCTTTTTAAAAATTCATTTATCTTTATTATTGTTTTCTGCTTTTCTTTCTACCCTTTTTTGGTATTGCTTTAACCATTTTTATGACAAGGATAGCATTGGAAGCTGTGTTTAGCATCATATTCCGCTTTCATAAGTGTTACAAAAGTAACAACATGCATTATGTTTTCCTTTTGGTACACATAAAATTTACCCTTTTGACTGTTAAGAATTGCTATGCAGTACATGATCATAGAAATACAAATATGCAAATATTTCTTCATGTTTTTGTTTTCAGTCCTTTTAGGAAATACTCAAGTGAAATTGTATCATATGTTACTTTTATGAGTAGTTTTTTGTGGAATTTCCTTTATGTTCTCTATAGTAGCAGTACCATTTTATATTCCTAAAAGTAATTCTTGTAATGCCTATATGTTCTATTTAGTCTTTACCTTTGTCAACCCTTGTTATTTCATCCCTTCCTTTTCTTTGTTACTTACTGTTTACCTTTCCTCATTTAATCCAATTTGCAACCAGGATGGCAACTTGTGTCCTCAAAAATCTGCATATTATGCAATACCTACCCAGCTATAGTCTTGTTTAAAAGTATGTGTTTGTTCTGATACCAGTATAAAAATCGCAGCTCATCTTTCTAGTTCTGTTTTCAGATTAGATCTGCTCTAGTAGGTCAGATTTTATAACATTAATTATGATAAGTTTCAGTATATTCTGTTGCAATAGCGTAGATATTAAATACAAAAGTACAACTTTGGGCTGTGTGCCAGTAGCTCATGCCTGTAATCGTAGCTCCTCAGAAGGCTGAGACTTGAGGATCACCATTCAGAGTCAGGCCAGGCAGGAAAGTCTATGAGACTCTTGTCTCTAGTAAGGGACAGCGCCCAGGGCAGAGTTCAGGCCCCATGACCGGACCCAAAAAAAAAAAAAAAAGGTAATTTAGGAGATGTTTTTGTTCGGATTTTTATTATGCATGCAAGAATGTATGCTTTTATCAAAATATATGCATTTAAAGCATTTAAATATGCATTTAAAACTTCATGTTTATTGTTGGATTCTGATCTTTATGTCCCATAGGTCCTTATTATTTCTTTGCAAAATTGCTTATCTGTGTTGATTTTTTTCACATTGAAATTAAGCTCTCCTGTTTTCAAATAAAGTATTTCATTAACTAAGCATTTTGCTTAAACACTTTTCAGTACTAGAAAACCAAAATATATTGTTACAAAAAAAGATATCTATGCTAAGATACTTTATAAATAGAAATCTCTACTAATGTTTTACTTTAATTATTTTTCCTTTAGTGAAGCTATGGTCTACCAACCTAGACAATTCAGTGGCAAGCATTGAAGCAAAGGCTAATGTGTGCTGTGTGAAATTCAGTCCCTCCTCCAGATATCATCTGGCTTTTGGTTGTGCAGGTAAGAAATGAAAGCAGATAATTTTTGATTGTCATCAAAAAATCTTTTCCTACCTGAACATTTTAATATGAACAATCATCCCTGTATTCTTAAATTTTTATTTCATTGTAGGCCTCTAAATTCAAAATATACTGTCATGACTCAAATAGTGGTATACGTTAATTATTATTTTGTAACGCATCTTTAATCAGTAAACATATGTTGATTATTGTCTTGTTAATCACAATTTTGTTTAAATAGCCTAAATGCATAGTCATTCATTGAACTAGTATTTATTGAGTGCTTACAATGCACAAAGCACTCACCTGGGGGCCATGAATAGGCCAGTTTCATTATATAATACAGGCTGATATAGTACATAACCAACAAAAATAAAATTGAGTATTTTAATCGTATAATTGTATGTTCCTTTTTTTAACCTTTAGGTAGTTGTACAAAGGAGTTGCCATTTGACAGAGCAGTTTATGAATACAGTTTAACTTAATCAGTGTCACCACTTACAACCTTCTCACCTATTCCTCCCCTACCACTCTTCCCTCACTCTCTTAATTTTGTAGGATGTACATTATATTCTTGTCTTCATTCTCTCCCCTCTTCTTTCATCTACTCCTTTCCCCTTGACCAACCCTACACCCTTTGAGTACCCACTTTCTGGTGTTTTATTTTGCTGTCTTTGATTTTGGCTTTGTAAAGAATTACATACTTCTTGAGTTCTCACTTGAATCTATCATATTTCAGTTTTACATTTGTATATACTTGCGTACCACTCAACATATTTACTTACAAGTTTGTAATCTAAGTCTGGCTTCCACATACAAGGGGAAACGTGTCCTTTTGCTGTCTAGACCAAACGGTTTTTCTTTGTTCTTGTTGGTATTTTTAATGTACTCTGTGATTTCTTTTTTATTTATATTTCTTTTTTTTTTTTTTTGGTTGGTCGTGGAGCTTGAACTCTGGGCTTGGGCGCTGTCCCTGCACTCTTCAGCTCAAGACGAGCACTCTACCGCTTGAGCCACAGCTCCACTTCCGGTTTTCTAGTGGTTTATTGGAGATAAGAGACTACAGACTTTTTGTCTGGGCTGGCTTTGAACTGTGATCCTCAGATCTCAGCCTCCTGAGTAGCTAGGATTACAGGCGTGAGCCACCGGCGCCTGGCGTGATTTCTTTTTAATGTACTATGTGATTTGTTTTTTTTTCCCTATGGTTTGTACCCTGTTGTCACGAAGCATAATTTTTTCCAAGTCTTTTCATTTCTTTATAAATGGTATAGTATCATTCTTTCTAATGGATGAGTATTCCAATGTGTATTATGTGCCACAACTCCACATCCAGGTCTTGGTGGTTAATTGGAGATAAGAATTTCATGAATTTTGCTGCCCAGGCTGCCTTCTTAGTCCTCTGTCTTCTGAGTAGCTAGGATTACAGATGTGAGCCACCAGCACTTGGACAGGAAATAATGTTTATATCTCTGTTTATTTTATATTTAAATACCTTAAGCAAATATGTATGTGAAGATGTTGGTATGTATATATACACTTGCAAACATTTTAAAACACTTAGCTATATAAAATATATCTTTGTCTTTAATAGTTGTGGGCAGAGCTTAATCAGATTCAAAAACTGAAATAAAAGAACAAATTATACTGACAAGGCCATTGAGACATATAACTAAGTAATCACACTTAGCACCATATTATAAGAAAAAAATTGATGTGATACAGTAGAAAGAACCATTATCTCTATAGTGTTTTTGACTAGTATAATTTCAGCAAAATAATAAACCCATTCTGACAAATTCAGATGTATCTGGTTTTTGGGGGTTTTGTTGTTGTTTGTGAAGAACAATGATATTGTTGGCAAAACAATGATATTGTTGATGTGTCATTGATTCTATTTTTAGATCTTACATCCTAGTGATTTTTTTCATTCATTTTTACTCCTAAAGATTTTACAGTTAAATAGCTTTTATGGTTGAAGCTTACAAATGTTTGGGTATTGGAATATGAGTATATAGGGTAGGGATAAAGCAATAGTGACACATGTATAAATTAGTAAGTCTAGAATAGAAAGTTATTCATTGTATTTTTTGTTGTTTTTGAAATTTTCCTTTTCTGTAACTTTAAATATTTTCAAATTAAAAGTTATCTTGAAGCCAGGTGCCGGTGGTCACACCTGTAATCCTAGCTACTCAGGAGGCTGATATCTGAGGATCACGGTTCAAAACCAGCTGGGGAAGGAACATCCATGAGACTCATTTCCAATTAACCACCAGAAAACCTGAAGTGGTGCCATGGCTCAAGTGGTAGAGCTCTACCCTTGATCTGAAGAGCTGAGGGACAGCGCCTAACCCCAAAGTTCAAGACCCATAACCGACAAAAGAAGAAATAGGACAATACCCAAATATTTCCAAAGAGTATTTTTGAATGTCACAGCAATTCTTCAGAAGTATTTGTGAACACAGATCCTTTAATAAAGGAAATTATTATAGCATTCTCCATTTTTATCATAGTGTTTAAAGTACTCCTACAAGTTTGAAATTGTAGACCATCTTCATATGCTTCTGTTCCTTTTTTTTTTAGCAGTCCTGGGACCTAAACTCAGGATGTGAGGGCTCTCCCAACTTTTTTGCTCAAAGCTAGTGCTCTGCCACTTGAGCCACAGTTGTTCTGGCTTGTTACTGGTTAATTGGTTGAGTCTTATGAATTTACCTGGTTGGGATGGCTTTGTACTGCAAGCATCAGAACTCAGCCTCCTTAGTAGCTAGGATTACAGGCATGAGCTAACAGCACCAAACAAGTATAACCTCATTCTAAATACATGCATAAAATCTAAAAAAATATTCAGCACCATGATGATATAAATAGGACTGGAAATAACTCACCACTTAGCAAAGTAAGCTGGTTCTGAGTACTTGATTAAGGGGCTTTTGTTTTGCTATGTTTGGAGTTCATCATGCCTATAAAATTGTCTGCCATTTCTTTTGGAAGATAATTACTCTTCATTTTTCTCTTTCTGCTTGTTAGAAATTTGACATTGGAAAACATTTGACAAAAACCACCAAAACCAGTTAGTTTTTCTTTCCATTTCATTTACTACATTTTTTTTCATTCTGTTTTGTGTTAGATCACTGTGTCCACTACTATGATCTTCGTAACACTAAACAGCCAATCATGGTATTCAAGGGACACCGAAAAGCAGTCTCTTATGCAAAGTTTGTGAGTGGCGAGGAAATTGTCTCTGCGTGAGTATTACTCTCCTCTGACATGAGCTTCGTATACAGTTCTGATGTCATTTACCATTTTATGAAGTCACTGTAAACATAGAAAAACATAAGATTACATGTCCTTTTTCTGAAATAATAGATTTTTGCATATTGTCCAACTAAAATGCATGTATATTCTGATCTGTATCATTCACTTTTATGTTATTTGTGAATAAAATCCTGTAAGCAAAGAAGCTAATTTTCAATGTGTCCCACTTATCTAATATTAGGTGTAATTGTATTTGAACTTCAAATTGTATTTCAGTAACTGTTTTTCCACAAGACAAGCAACATAGACTAGAATAAGTGCATTATTTGTTAAAGTCAAACAGTATGTTACATATCTAGTTTCACTATTACATGTTGACTTTTATGCTATAATTCTTCTCTGATTTTGCACTAGGTTTTAAATATATTTCAAAGAAAACTTTCTAAGTATGACTATTTATACCTGACAGATGTCTTTTGAAAAACTTTCTGAACTAAAAAAATCTTAAGTTTTTAGTTGCTCTTTTTACTTTTTTTTTTAAGTAATAAGATGTCAAGTGAGGTAAAAGAGAAATTTCACTTGTGAAAATATTGACAAACCTCTCCTAACATAGCCAGTCCCAAGCTTTGGGTTTACATTACCTTGTAAATAACTACTCCTGATTTTTTTCTTTTTTATATCTACCATTTCATCTCAAGATAAATGACACATTTCCTTTATTACTTAGTTTCTAGTCTCTCAGATTATTATGCCAGCACACTGTATTTGATATCTCTTATCTACCTTCACACACTGGTTGCTCTAAATAAAAACTTGGTCATTTGAATTGAGTTACAAAAGAGGACAAGAAATAAAGTTAGAACTCTAAGGCAAGGTTATTTAGAAATTTAAATGAAGTAGTAACCAGTCAAAAAGTATACCATCTTTAGGAATGAATAAAATCAACAACAAATAATTTAAATATTCAGATTTAAGTATAGACTATTTTCTATTTCAGATTCATAAATGTATAATCAATTACTTTTACTTCCATTAGTTACTATATAAATATGTGTGTTCTTAGTTGAATTGAATCAATTGGAAATCTTAACTGATCTTAAAGTAGACCTAGAACATTTTTTTATCCATCTATTTCTTCCTTAGTTTTTATAAATCAGTGATTTTTTAAAGGATTTAGACCTTTGAAATATCCACAATATATGAGTCAGTACCAATATTAATGCAAAATATTTTGGTACTGTAAACAGGAGTATTTAGTACAACATTGTTAAGCAAAATAAACTAAAGCGGTATTGTAAAATACTGTAAAGCTAGCTTCCATAATCCGGTAGCAGGATCTTTGCTGCAGTGTTTGCTAGCTAGGGTACCCTGAAAATGTCCCTGACCTTTAACCTCAGCTTGTTAATCTCCAAAGTGGGGGTGCTGATCACTTCCTGTACACCCAGTACTATGGGGACCATTTTTTTGGGGGGGGGAGGTCTGGTCGTGGGCCTGAACTCTGCGCCTGGGTTCTGTCCCTTAGATCTTCAGCTCAAGGCTAGCGCTCTACCACTTGAGCCACAGCGCCACTTCCAGCTTTTTTTTTCTGCTTATATGGTGCTGAGGAATCTAACCTAGCGCCTCATGCATGCAAGGCAAGCGCTCTGCCACTGAGCCACCTTCTCAGCCCTCTGTCAGGACCATTTTAAATTAAGTTTTGCATTGTGTAGTAATCAATATGTTTCACATTTAACTGATGCAAAACTAAGGCCAATTAGGAAACAGACTTAGACAATCTGGCTCCATAGTCTGTATTTTTAACCACAAAATTAGATGGCTTCTAGTAGTGGTGATGAGTTTCACACCATGGAAATTAAAATACATTCTTATTCTTTGTGTTTATTTCAGCTCAACAGACAGCCAGCTAAAACTGTGGAATGTAGGGAAACCATACTGTCTACGTTCCTTCAAGGGACATATCAATGAAAAAAATTTTGTAGGCCTTGCTTCCAATGGAGATTATATAGCTTGTGGTAAGTGAAACAATCTTTTTAAGGAAATTTTTAATATATCTGTAGCTATAATTATACATGATGGATAAATGATGTATAAAATCAGAAAGAATCAATAGGCATGACTACACAACAAAAGTTTTCCTCAGGTTGTGCTGGAAGAGCACTGGTCTCCATTTTGTTGACCACAAACTGAATACATAATAATTGCATTTAAAATATAAACATGTTTGTAGTTCTCTGTAATGACATAATTTTTGTAGATATTATAGCTATTATGCAAAAACAAATTACTAATTTTTGCTATTATTCCAAGAAGACATTTGTTTTAAGTTTAATATTTATTTTCTTTCTCTAGAGTTCTTTTCATTTAGCAATCCCTTTGTATAGCAATTTCTTTATTCTTGGGCTTTTATTATAGATAATTTATGGAAATTTCTACCAGAAATAGAAAAATCAAGGTAATAAACTTCACTTGTTTTTGTTTTTTTTTTTGTTATTGTTGTTTTTTTGGGGGTCCAGTCGTGCAGCCTGAACTCTGGGCCTGGGCACTATCCCTCAGCTCTTCAGCTCAAGGCTAGCACTCTACCACTTGAGCCACAGTGCCACTTCCGGCTTTTTTCTTTTTGCTTATGTGGTGCTGAGGAATCGAACCCAGGGCCTCAGGCATGCAAGGCAAGCGCTCTACCACTGAGCCGTCTTCCCAGCCCCCCTTTCACTTGTTTTTATATGATGGCTTTTCTTTGGTAAATTCAGTTCTCTTTACATATATGAACCTAAACATCACTAAAGGAAATATGAAGCACTATTATCCTACCCTGATTGACTGCTCAGAAATACAGTTCTATAAACTAATAGAGTAATTCTTAATTGGAAAATAGGAAATAAATTATGTAGCCTATTCAGATTTGCCTTTGAAGGTGCTACAACTTTCATTTTTTTTCTGTGTAGTATTCTTTCCAAAGTAATTAACAAATTTTAGACTTCTGTTGACAGTGATTATTATATAATGATTTTAAACTTAGATATCTACATTGTTACATTATTTAACATTGTTTGTCTCTTTAGTAAGCCATAGCTTTTTTGAATTGGATTCTTTTCACACCTAACTTCCAAATGATCTTTCAAGTTTGCTTTTTAGAGATTACTGGAATGTGAGCTAACACTCTTGAGTGATAATTCCTATTTAAATATGCTATTCTGGCTGTGTGTGGTAGTGTGTACATATAATTCCATTACTCATAAGACAAAGTAGGAGAGTCTGCATAGAGTGTGAAGTCATCCTTAGTTTAATAGTGGTACTACCTCAAAAATTTTTTTTGATAATCATTCCATATTCTCCCATTCTAAATAATATTTTCATCATTTATTTTCAGGAAGTGAGAACAACTCTCTCTATCTGTACTATAAAGGACTTTCTAAGACTTTGCTAACTTTTAAGTTTGATACAGTTAAAAGTGTTCTGGATAAAGACAGAAAAGAAGATGATACAAATGAATTTGTTAGTGCTGTGTGCTGGAGGGCACTACCAGATGGGGTAAGTTTCCCATTAGTTTTTTTGGTTTTGTTTGTGTATGTCTGTGCTTTGTGTATACATGGAGTATTTAAATTTCAAGATATAAATGGATGTGATTTCTTTTTTGCTTGGCACTATATCACCAGAGAAAGAAGAATGTTAAATAACAATTGAAATGTCACTAGTGAAAAAATGTCACGCTGACCAGTGCCTCTCCCATGTACCAGAGAATCTTGGGTACACAAATGTACATCTTTTCTTAAAGACTGAAAATTCCCCAGGGTTCTCTGTCTCATCTCTAAAAATCACATGCAGTATTTGCTCAGTAAGCATTTAGCTGAGATGAGATTTGGGGGGCAGGGTGGCATTTGATTGAGGTGGTAGACTTAGCTTTACAAATATATATATGTAAGAATATTTAAAGAATTTTCTTACAAGGATGTTACCCTACTGGTTTAAAAAAACACACAGTTTTATTGGGCTTCACCTTTTATACATTTTTTAATTGTTAACTTTTCTGTTACTTACATGAAGTAGTAGTTATCTTATTCTCGATTAATGTAAACATGAGTTAATTATTAGTGACATCTTACTAGGCGGTATGACTGAACTGATAGGGGCCCTTAGTTCAACCCCTGGTACCAAAAGAAAAAAAGAAGAAAAAAATACCAATGTTTATTTAAAGCTAAGGTGTGGCTCAAGTAGTAGGTAAGTTCTGACTAAATGTATAATTTGAAATATCTTCTTGTTTTTCTAATTGTCAAATACAGTAAGTATACTAAAAAATAAAAATAATACAGGATATATAAAAATAAACTTAAAAACAGAATTGTAGCAGCTCTGGATTACAGTTATCAGATAAAACTTAAAAGTAGCAATGCTTACAAAATGAAAGACAGGATTGCAAAATTTATCTGGAACTGAAAATGTTTTTAAAAATGAAAACCTTAACGCTGAAAAATGTATTACCAAAATTAAGAACTCAATGAATACGTTCTAAAAGAGATAAGGTAGAAATAAAAGAGTTACTTATCTGGTAGATTTGTTAGGAAAAATGTGCATAGAAGTAAGCATGGAAAGAGAAAAATGGGAAAATACAAAATAAAGAGTATCAAGTAAGGACAGTTAATATTTTCAATAAGATATCTAAAAGGAAAAAGAAAGCAGCAGTAAAGAAAATTAGAAGGGATTAGAGTTGATGGGGGCAAATGTTCTGTAAGTCTTTGAACTGTGAAGAATGAAAGATATGAAATAGTGTGAATAAATACTAATGTTGACCCTGTCCTTGAGTAGACATAAACCTGTCATAGGTTGCCTTCTCATGGCTCTGTTTCCTTGGAAGTATATTAAGAATATACAGTGCTACTTGCAAGTTATATATTAAGTGCTACTTGCAAGTTATCTTTTAAATTTATTATAAAACCCTATGGATAGTATGGCATGTGGCCTTTTTTCTGTGCACACAGTATAAGAGGGATAGGAAACCAAAATGCATTGTTGTACGTACTCTGTGGGTAAGTCAAAGAATATATTCAGGTGAGTTAAAATATAACAGGCTGAATTTTCAATCCTATATTCTTTTATAACTAAATTAGTGCTAGATTAAAACCACTTGCCTCTGAATCCTCCAAGCCAAGATCAATCCTTGTTGGTGGTGAGACATTCACATTTTCATATGACATAGTAAAACTGCTGAAAATATATAAAGTACAAAGGATTTCCCCCTTTGAGCCATTTTTATATTATTGACAAAATTGAATATATTGATGTGGTACAGTGTCATGTTTTGCAATTCATATGCACAGACACATAGGTAATTGAATGAAACCAATTAACATTTACTTTTCTTCTTGTGAAAACACCTAAAATATCTTCTGTTAATAATTTTGAAATATGTGACTACAGTTACCCTGCTGTGCAAGATACCTCAAAAACTTAATCTTCATGACTTTATGACTAACATCTTTCTTTTCCATTTCCAGCCTTCTATGAATAAGACATTTTTAGATCACATGTAAAACTAAGATCATAGTATTTTTCTTCTGTATGAGTTATTTCTGTGCTAATGTCCACTAAATTATGCTTAGAATCTGTTGTTGGTGTATTGTGTGTGTTTGTTGTCAGTTGACAGATAAATAGGTTGATTTTGTATCTTGATTCTTGTGACTTCCATACAATAAGTATGGAAGTGCAGCTGTCTTTTTGATGTAGTAATTTTAGTTCCTTATGTATCCAGAATTAAGATTACTGGATCATAATGGCATTTACTTAGATTTAAATTGTTGTAAAGCTTCTACTATATTGTTTTCCTTGATGGCTATTCTAATTTATGTTCTCATCACTAACATTACAAGATTGTTCTGTTTTGTTTGTTTTTTCTCAAATTCTGACCAGTGCTGACATTTCATCTTTTTTATTATATAAATTCTAATAGAGGGCTGGGAAGGTGGCTCAATGGTAGAGTGCTTGCCTTACATGCATGAGGCCCTGGGTTCGATTCCTCAGCACCACATAAACAGAAAAGGCCAAAAGTGGCGCTGTGGCTCAAGTGGTAGGGCACTAGCCTTAAGCTGAAGAGCTGAGGGACAGCGCCCAGGCCCAGAGTTCAAGCCCCACAACCGGCAAAATAAAAATAAAAATTCTAATAGATACAGTATTTCATTGTGGTGTTACTTTGCATCTCTCTGATGCTGAACATTCTTTTCATATACCTATTTGTCTATTTCTATATTTCTGCATTTTTTAAATTTGTATTTTATTTATTTATTTTTAGTTGGTCATGGGGCTTGAACTGTGGGCCTGGGCACTGTCCCTGAGCTCTTCAGCTCAAGGCTAGTGCTCTACCACTTGAGCCACAGCGCCAGTTCCCTATTTTTATATTTCTGATTCAGATCCTTTGCCATTTTTTAAATTAGGTAATTTACTTGCTGTTGAGTTGTTTTATGAGTGTTTGCTATGAGCTCTTTAACTATGTTGCAAACATCTTCATAAAATTCACAGGTTTTATCAATTCTGTTTCCTGTCATACAGAAGCTTTTTAATTTGGTGTGGTACCATTTTTCCAATTTTGCTTTTGTCACCTTTGCTTTTGAGACCATATCCAGAAAGTCATTGCTTAGATCAATGTTGTGAAACTTCCATCATGATTTCTTAGTATTATAGGTTAGTTTTATGTTTATGTCTTTATTCTGTTTTGAATTAATTTTTGTGTGCCATGTAATCATCTGTGTAGAAGAGTCTGTTTTCATTTTTGTCCCTATTGGTATCTAGTACCATTCATCAAAAAGGCAGAGAAAATATTATCTATTACACTGATAGCCAGTGTTACAGTAGCACAGTAGAATTGAGAAGATAATAAAACCAGATATGCAAAGTGTGAAGTAAAATACCTACCCAGCTAAAATTCTGTATCTAGTTAGTCTCTCAAGATAAAAGTGAAACAAACAGTTTTAGCAAAATGTTTTGAAGAATTTGCCATCACTTGGCCTATACTAAAGGAAACCTCAAAGGATAGTCTTATTACAGAAGAAAAAGATCCCAGGCTCAGATCAGATTGTTGTTGTTTGGGAACAGATGAATCATGCTACCACTGGGAGAAGTTTGTGTTGAAAATAACTAAGAAATCCAAATTGCTCTCAAGCATCTGTTAGAAAGAAGAATTGCAATTATGAATACCTAATGTTTAATTTTGCTGTTTCCTATCCCATTTTGGTAAATTTAAAAAGGCAGTAAGATGTGTTCTTTTTTCTCCTTCAATTAAAAAAATATACTTAAAATATATTGACTTCCTACACTTACAAGCCAGTTCTTTTCCAGAATTCCACAGTGAACACAAAATAAATGATAGCGATTTTTCTTTCTGATTCTTTTTTTTTACTTCCTTCCTCCTTTTTCATCAACTGCCATTCTTTTGTCTTTTTATCTTTCCTCTAGCTAGATGGTTAATAGCACTTTAGAAAATTTTCCTCACTATAAGAGTGTCAATCTGAATTAACTCTTGTCTGTCTTGTGAGTGGAAGCAAAGAATATTTTGAGCAAAAATCCCAATTTCCAGAAAAATGGAAAGGAGACTTGACTATCTCCTCCCAAGTGTCTAGACTAGAGAGAGATGGAAAAAGTAGAAAAGGGAGGTGAAAGACTGAGGCAGCCCTGTTAGTTTTTCTCTGAAGAAACTATATGAAATAAAATTTACCTTTAATGTCTACTACTGTGTGGAACAGCCTCAGTGAAAACATGTTACATTCAATATTTTATGGTACATGTTGTAATGAAAACAACCAAATAGGATTTATACAGTCTGCTAGGTGACATTTTAAATGTTTCCTTATTATCATTTTAGTATATTTACTATAATTATTACATTTTAGATGGTTCTTACATTTATAAACACTGTTGTACATATGACTATTGCAAAACATAAATTTGACACAAATCTTAAAACTTCCTGCCCTTTTTGTTTTAGTTCTTTTTAAAGGAAGACAAATATTAATTTGAAAAGACATTCTAAATGTTTAGAAGTATCTGAAATACCTTTATATAGAAAGGGATTTGAAGATAGAGATGGGATCTTGTAGTCTTTTCTGCCCAGATTGGTTTCAAACTGAGATCCTCTAGATCTCAGCTTTCTGAAAGCTAGGTATTACAGGGCTGAGAGCACCTGCCTTCAATTACTTTTTATAAATAAACATTGCAGTTTGTCATCCCTTTGATTCTTTTCACTTTTGAAATGTTGACATCTTTGTTTCTTTCTGGCTTTATCACTCTTTTGTATTTGTCTAAGCCTAGAACCCCAAAATCATTTTTCTTATATTTTTCCTCTATTTACCAAATTGTAATAATGCTTTCTGTGAAGTTGCTCCTATTTTTTCTTCTAAATTCCTACTTTTCATCTTCCCATTCCTTTTGCTTCCTCATATCTAAAATTTATCCATTGCTTTATCTCTGTCACTGTGAATGCATTTTTCTAAATTTAAAATTACACTTTACAAACAAAGGAGGAGGTAACGATGCTTGATAGGAAA